TTTGCGTGCGCTGCAAAAACTATTGACAATAGAACAAAATGATGTACTACGGGTTTGTAGATCCCATTAAGACCTACAAAAAAGTCCGCGAGAACATATATCTAGCTATCATGATTTAATCACAATAACCGGTTTTGTGTTCAAAATAATTATTAAATCGTCTTAAGAAAAAAAAACTACGTTAAATATGTATCGTAATATTAATCTTTATCGAAATTAAGCATTATGTTATCAAGAGTATTTATGTAGAAGTAAAATACTTTTTGTTTCATCTCAATCGGATATTTCGTTTAAAAGTTATCACGTGTGTAAGATGTTAGGAGTTGGTACCTATTAATGAGTTATGGGCCATAGAGTTTTTTATCAACATAAAATCCTGTAAAGTTATTGTCATAATAAAATAAATTATGTGAAATCAATGAAACAATTAATAATGTCATATCATTCCAAGAATTAAAGAGATTAATGTCAATTAAGAACAAATAACCACACTATATATAATATTATAAAGGCGAAAGTTTGTGAGTGTATGAGTGTGTATGTTTGTTACTTCTTCAGGTCTAAACGGCTGGAGCGATTTTAATAAAATTTGGTATAGAGTTAGCTGACACCCTGGATTAACACATAGGCTATGTTTTACTGTGGGAAAATATCCCTAATAAACCGCGGGTAACACCGCGGGGCACAGCCAGTTACTATGTAAGTACGAAACTTTATAATGAATATTAGTAACGTGAACTGATGATTAATAGATAAAAATCAGTGAGAAATCATTGAGCTTAACCGTAACCTTTTCCGATATAAAATTTTCGAATAATTTCTTCGATTCTGAGAACGAGTCCAAATGAGAATCTACGAAATATGTATTGTATTTTACGATAACATGATCTTTATTTCTGAAACTGTTTTCGATTAAGTTGCTATATAAAATTTTCGAATAATTTCTTCGATTCTGAGAACGAGTCCAAATGAGAATCTTCGAAATATGTATTGTATTTTACGATAACATGATCTTTATTTCTGAAACTGTTTTCGATTAAGTTGCTATATAAAATTTTCGAATAATTTCTTCGATTCTGAGAACGAGTCCAAATCAGAATCTTCGAAATATGTATTGAATTTTACGATAACATGATCTTTATTTCTGAAACTGTTTTCGATTAAGTTGCTAGTTCAGATTCTGAATCGATTCTTGTCTTTTAACCGATTTTAATTGGCAATAATTTAGTCGATTCTACATTACTTCGACGATTTTCGTTTTCACTGTTTACTTCCCACATATGTAATGAATGTTTGTATAGAAAGATACGTTTACTTTGGCGTGACATAGGAAAGTGTGTGTGATGTGAAGAATTCAACGGTCTGCATTTGGAATATTTCACGATCAGACGGAACGCGATCGGTTTCTCTGTCTGCGAAGGAGCCACTTTCCAGTTCACACCATTAAGATTATATATTTTACGTACGCGAAATTGCACTTAACTCACTTTAATTACCGCAGTTAATGCTATACCATATTAACTAGCCGGGACAGTTTTATTAGGTGATTATATAGTACCTATGTATTGACAGAGTTGATGGTGCTATGTTTATGGTAAGGGGATTTTGGGATTTACTTGAGCGTGGCAAAATAACATTAGGAGGCCAACCTTACACCTTCTGAAGAACTTTCAACTATACAGAAACAGGAGACTCTCCAAATTGTTCGTCTTTTGAATAGGAGAATTAATAGAGGGTCTAATGTAAAAATACTTTTAGGGAAACGTCATAATTTGAAGGTAATATTGCTCTCACCTTACCCCAAAGGGCACTCGAATTGTAAACTAGGTTATAAAGAATCGTTATAAAAAAACGACAGTGAAACAATATCTACTCGTATTGTTGGCGGTTACACCTACCTATACTATAATGAGATGAGATCGATTCTTATCAGTATTATATTACGTATTTAACATCAGTATTATATTACGTATTTAACATCAGTATTATATTACGTATTTAACATTTCTACATTGTTATACTAAAAATATTGATATAAAGCTAATTTGTCTTAATAATTCGGTAGCTCACCCTGATTAAACATTTTTTGAATAGTGTATTTTTAGAGTAGTAAAAATATTCCATCCATCCTTCCATCAGCCTTTCTCCGTCCACTGCTGGACATAGGCCTCCCCCATAGAACGCCACAATGCGCGGTCCTGCGCTATCCGCATCCAGCGGCCTTTCTTACCCAACGGTTGTCAGATCCTCGAGCGATGTGGCCTGCCCATTGCCACTTCAGCGTGCTAACTCTTCGGGCTATGTCGTACACACCGGTCCTTCTACGGATCTCCGTATTTCGGATCTTATCACGTAGGGAAACACCGAGCATAGCCCTCTCCATAGCACGCGTCGCGACTTTGAGTTTTGTTATAAGGCCGACATTCAGAGACCACGTCTCAGTCCCATAAGTCATCACTGGTAACACACACTGGTCATAGACCCTTCTTTTCAGGCACTGGGGAATTTTGGCCGTGAGGATGTGCCTAAGCTTCCCGAACGCTGCCCATCCGAGTTGGATTCGTCGGTTGACCTCTTTCTCGAAGTTTTGTGCATAAATTTTAGTTTTCCTGCAAAATAATGTAAGGAATCATTGTCATTTTACGTCACTCGTTTTACATACAGGGAAACTCCTTTGCAATAATAATTTAAATATGTTTAGTGGGAGTATTTCCTTCTTGATTTTCCAAATGCCAATTCTCCCAGGTCCCAGGATATACCTAATATTATACTAGAAATATCCCGGGACCTTATTCGGTTCGAATTTACTAGTTTCCTTCTCCGGGTATAATTTAATATTTTAATAAATTCGAAGGGAAATTGTACTGTTCTTTTAATCATTATACTGAAAGATTTATAAAAGTTTTCTCAGGAAATCTTAAATACGTCCGGTAGTTTTGTAATTACACAGGCACTTAAAATTTATCCTCTTTTAAAACGTATCCTATCCAGATAATGTTAACCATCCGTGTGCCAAACATCATCCAAATATGAACATTCGCATTTATAATTTAAGTAAACAATTTGTCTCTTATATTAGGTTCTGTACTGACAGCTTGAACATAAATCACCTAAGTGTCTGTTTTGTGGCTTGATGTTCTTGAATCATTTCTCAATGGAAATATGCGATTGTCTGTTATAAGACTTGCAATTGACATGAATACTATTCTACTAACATTACCTTCTTTAATTTTCATCTCTGCAAATCCATAGACGACAAATAACACAAAAACAATCACTATTGATAAAATTTACCATAGAATTTTACTGACCAAATGCTGGTCCCATTTGTAAACAGATAAATCCAGTGCTATCATAGCTATGTATACTCTCCGTCCACTTTAAACAATTGGAACATATTGCTTCTTAAGTGGTAGCGTATTGAAATGATTGTGCACAGTGGTTTCAAGAGCTGTTTTGCAACATGCTATTGACTATCATTCACATTTGTCTGCCTGTCCTCCTTCTGAATTTTAGTTCCTGCGGATATGAAACTTTGGTTTACAACAGTGGGTCCGATTCTGGTATGATTATTATCCTTAACCTGAAACTTAATATAATACAGAACATGTTTATTATGCTCTATAGAAAATGAAAAGAATATGATATTTTTTTTTTAATTTTGTTTAAAGTTTAAAATCAGGGGTGAAGTTAAACTGTACTGGTGATATAGGTACGTATATTTTCTCACCAATAAGATTTTGCTGTATAGAAAGAAGAACTGGCGTAAGAAACTCCGCAATGGCAATAGGGAACACTATGGTAAATGTAATACGACCAGATGAACCTTTAAGCGATCAATCTCCTTTAAAAATTTCTTCTTTAATATCTATACAGGGTGTTACAAAAATACAAATAAAGTTTGAAGGGCATTGAAGTACATCATACAAGGAGTCTTCTCTAATTTTTTTAAAATATTTGCATGAAGTTTTAACTTTTTGTAAAAACAGTTATTTTTAATGATCCTCGAACTAGTGACGTGTCTAAAAATGATCGATATTTTTATTAATCATTAAAAATAACTGTTTTTATAAAAAGTTAAAACTTCATGCAAATATTTTAAGAAAATTAGAAAAGACTCCATAAATAATGTACTTCAACCCGTTCAAGCTTTATTTGTATTTTTGTAACACCCTGTATAGAAGAATCTTTTTTCGTAGATATAGGAAATAATTTATCAAGCTTGACTGTTGTATATTGATTGGGAAACTAAAGTGGGAAATATCCTAGCATGGAAGAAGTATGAAAGTTGTAGCTTAATGCAAAATAATATATTTTACATAATAACATATAGGTATGTGGTTCAATAAACTATAGTCGACTACCTCAAGGCCTAGTACTATACTTGCCACAGCTGGGGGCTAGGTTTACTGCTTCGATCAACAATTTTATAGATAACGGATTGCATACAAAATCAAAGCTAAAAGCTGTCTGCGAGAATATATATGTACATGCAGCGGCATTCGATTCCTGAGTTATTTTCCGCAGCTATTTATTCATGGAAGTTAATTCATCACGTTAGTAGATTTAATAAAAGAACGAGCGATTTGTATTGTGGCCTAGTAAGGATAACCTCTGCGGAGAAGTTTAAGGCGCTTTGATAAAATTCCAAGAGGAATAATGAAAAGTTTTGATTGAGAACTTTTTGTGTGTATTCGTGTGTGATTCTTATTGATGTCAGTATGAGTATTCTGTTTATGATGACCGCACATCGACGACGTACTTTTTGTAGCGGTCGCCAGCCTTGGTAATATTGTTTTATTGGTTGTATTCTGACAAAAAATCGGACACAGATATTATCTGACGTCTGCGACCTCGGATAAGCATATAATTTACGTATTACAGTCGTTGCAATGTATCCCTAGATTTTTAAAAGAATAATTATGTAATTGAATATGCTCAATTTCTTATACCAATATTTTCAAACATAAAATTGTATTTTTGGTTACTTTGAACAACAGCTAGCGCTTACATAATAGAGCAAACACTCAATTCAAGAACGACCGATACAATTTCATGGTGGCTCTGACATTGGATGCAAATAGTTTGCGCGCGAAATACTTGGCGGCAATTAGTGCGTTCGTGAACGCAACTCGGAAAGTGGTGGGACTTTTCGAAAATCGAAGTCTGCGTACTTGGTCTGGAGTGCTTTTAGCCGCGTCAGCACAGACAATGTGTAAATGATATTGCGTGGTCGAGTTTGCGCGCGAAATACCTGGCGCGAATCAGTGCGTTCGGTAACGTCACTCGGGAAGTGAGACTCTGAAAAACGAACTGTCTTTGCGTACTTGGACGGAAGTGCTTTTGCCACCTCAGCACAGACAATGTGTGAGTGATATTAGATTGGTGTTAGCTTTTCGCGCGCGTGTGGTGGTCGTGTCGTGATAGGTGTCGCGGGGCGTCGCCAATGCGGCGGCGGCGCGTGCCACATGTCGCCGCCGCGGGCGCTGCTTGCGGCGCTGCTCGTCTGCCAACTGCTGTCGTACGGTGGCCACCAAGGACTCACCAAGATATTCTACACGTAAGAAGTGATTGTTATAAGTAATCCTAAGAAATTAAATACCGAAACAAGAGCTTTTACTGGAAATATGGTACTTAAGAACTGATATAAAATGACCAGGCATCTTAAGCTGATTTTTGTGTGATGATCACACTCACAGAAGGGACATAGTTTCGGAACATCACAATGCATATTATAAAAGCATTCAGTAAAGATAAGATAAGAAGAATGAAAGGGGCCGTTCAAGTATTACGTAAGCAGACTTATTACAATTATTTACCCCCTCCTCCCTTTGTCAGCAAAAGTAAGCAAAGCTCTTACCTCTCCCCCTCATCCTGACGTAAACATTGGTACCTATATGCATTTTTCCTTTAATGTATTCTGTTTTTTTATTGATTCATGAGCTTTCATGAGCTTCATGACCAGCAGTACTTAAAAAGGCTTAATTGATGATGCTGACGTAATCACCATCTCTACCCCCCACCCCCCAAGTCATCAAAAATAAGCAAAGCAGAGACCGGGTACCCCCCTATAGTGCTTACGTAATACTTGAGCAGCCCCAAACCACGATTACTTGTTAATAAGTAGTCGCGAAATCTACTCAAAAAAATGGGTTGTTAGAAAGTTGCAATTCTGATTATATTTTCTCAAAAAATATTAAACTTACAACTGTCAAAGTTATACCTACAGGACGTGCGTTCATGATGATTTAAATGAGTAAAATTTTATACTAAAGTATTGTCAACTTACTGTGTAATTAATGAAGCAAGAAACGCAATGCTAACATTTTGCAATTTTTTGTGTAAAGTTGCGATTAACGTTCTTTGTTATAAAATAAAGATAGTTTGATACTTCATATCATTTCTGTAGTTTTTTTTGTTCATGGATTTTTCAGACGTGTGTTTTATTGCTACGATTTTTACCACAAGATTGGAAAACGACTCATTTGGGAAAAACCCTTAATAAAAACATAAAAAAGAAGATTAATCTCAAAACATTCGTGTTTATTTTAATCGTCACGAAACGCACTTTCTGTAGGTATAAGTTTTATAGCTGCAAATAAACCTTACAGCTATCAAAGTTATAGCCTTATTACTAGCCTGCCGCTAGCGACTTCGTACGCGTGGAGTTAGTACAGCACTTTTTGAGTTTATCCCGGACATACATACATACAGGAGGAGTTTGACGGCGCAAGTGGTTAGCGCGTTCGGCTGCGATCGTTGAAGTTAAGCGACTTTCGCAGTGGTCGGTCATTGGAGGGGTGACCAAAAATTTACTATCTCGAGCTCCTCCGTGCTTCGGAAGGCACGTTAAGCCGTTGGTCCCGGCTGCATCTGCAGTCGTTAGCACCCACCAATCCGCACTGGGCCCGCGTGGTAGGTCATGGCGCAATCTCCCTATTCCATCCATAGGGAAGGCTTGTGCCCCAGCAGTAGGGACATTAATAGGCTGATGATGATACATACAGACAAACAGACAAAAATTATAAAAACTATATTTTTGGCTTCGGTATCGATTGAAGATCACACCCCAAGTATTCTTTTAAAAAAAATATTCAATGTACAGTTTTGACTTTCCTACCATTTTATTATATGTGTAGATTGAGAAAATCAAATCAGAAATCCGGGGTAGCAAAAGGCCCGATTTCTTTGCTGTCCAGTGTATATGCATCAATATCTACTGGTACATCAATTCAGCTCAGCAGCAATGCTAAAGATATAACCGTCTAACATCTAAAGCGTGAATTAGATAAAAAAACATTATCATCTTCATTATCAGCCTATTAATGACTCCACTGCTGGGGCACAGGCCTTCCCTATGGATGGAATAGGGAGATTGGGCCATGACTCACCATGCTGAGCTGAGGAGCTCGAAATAGTAATTTTTGGTCACCCATCCAATGACCGACCACTGCGAAAGTTGCTTAACTACAACGATCGCAGCCGAACGCGCTAACCACTTGCGCCATCGAGCTCCTCAACTCATCCTCAAAAAATAACTTACCTTAACTGTAATTAACGGTCTTTATTGATTAATCGTCTTTGTATACGAAAAGTTATTTATTCAAGTAATCCTTATGGTAATAATCAATTACTAATTAATAAAGTATATTACTATTAATACATAATTCAGTAAATAAAAAAAAACTTACATGAGGTAAGAAAGAAGTATACGTTTTTATAAGTTTTTAGAGTCATGACTTGGTAAACTGTATTTTAACGAAGCTAAGGTCAATACACTCTTGATTATTCTAAGTAGCGACGAAAAACACTTATAGCAACATTTATCAGCCAATTAGTAAAATACAACAGCAATAATTATTTGCTAGTTGTTTAATTACTTTGTGTCTATGATATGTTTATTGATACGGTTAGAATGCAAGAAGTTATTCCACAGACCTCACCTACGTAATATAAAATCAGTACCTATACATACTGAAGGAGGATCTCTCGATCAAATTCTTTATAAAATATCTGAAGATTTTAATCTCTCTTTGCGTGTCTACCGAACCTAGATTTAGGACCACTTGCATCAACATTCTTAACGCTTAATCCGTTTTTAATACATCATAACCTTTTCTCAATTGTAAATAATAGCGATGACGACTAACTTTTTTTTCTTCGTGTATCGGGTAGATTATCAAAAAGTAGTGGACACGTATTTTTTCTTTTTTCACATAATCAAAAGATTACAGATATTTATTGTTTTGAAAAGTCTCATGACGTCACGTTTTGGTACAATTTAAAGTGACGTCACAATGCCCCACTCACAAACTTTGACCCGCTTTATGTTTGTAATTATTTGGTTGATTGATCAATGAAAAAATACGTGTCCATTATTTATTGATCTTGTAACAGACGGACTAAATAGAATTTCGTTTACTTTACCCCGTCGTCACCCCTATTAGATATATAAAGAGCATACAATAAGGTTTGTAATCAAATTGATATTTTTAATGCATTGGTCAGGACATTCAAGAAGTTTTGTCTACTACAGTACATATCCCCGCATTTAATGTAGTAACATTGTAGTGTACCTATCTAATTAATCACTTTCCTTTTATCATCATCAGCATATTAATGTCCCCACTGCCGGGGTAGAGGCCTTCCCTATGGATAGAATAGGGAGATTGGCCCATGGGATTGGTGGGTGCTAACGACTGCAGGTGCAGCCGGGACCAACGGCCTTACGTGCCTTCTGAAGCACGGAGCTCCAGATAGTAAATTTTTGGTCACCCATCCAATGACCGACCACTGCGAAAGTTGCTCAACTTCAACGATCGCAGCCAAACGCGCTGACCACTTACGCCGTCGAGCTCCACGATATTCCTTTTATACTCAGAATTAATGTTATATTCCATTTAAGCATGTTATGTTCACTCCAAGTAGTTTGTATTTCATTTATATGTATAACTAGCGGACCCGACAGACGTTGTCCTGTCTACACGTCTTTGTGAATCTAAACTATTCTCAGATCCCCTTGAACACACACAAAAAATTTCATGATTTTATTTTACCCAACTATGAATGTTAACCAGTATTGTGAACCATTAATAAAAAAGAGACATAGACATTTTTAGCTTTTAAATACCATTTAAAAACTTCAGAGCAAGTGGGCACTGGCTATACCGGTATATCGACAGTCTGAGACCTAAATTTATTGTTTAAATACGAAAGACTGGTTCGTATTGCGTATTGCAAAAAAGATACATTGGTCACATAGCAAAACAAATATTTTGTTTTCGGATTCTATAGTATTATTGAATTCAAAATAGCGCTCGGCATAGTAATATGCGAATTTATGGCCATATAGATAGGTCTTAATGAAGTGACGGTACTGGTATGTGGGAGACAGGCTTGATTTTAATATCTGAGAAGTTAATAAACTACATTCTTATCTCATCATTCTTAAATAACTCTTAATGAAATGAAATGAAAGTTTATTTGCATGAAACATAGTTTGTTACATCTGGTAAATAATATAAAAAGTTCCATATGCCCTTGAAAGAGCATACAAAATACTTATAAATTATCTAAAAATTCAAATTTAAATTGAGTAATAGTTGCATTTCAATTGTCAATTTAATAATTAAATGTCAATAAAATTCGCCAAAACTATAGATAACATGTCAATATGTACTTGCAATTCAATTATCAAATGTCAATAAATTTGCCATAGCTATGAACATAGTAGAATAAAAATAAAATAAAATCACAATTTGTCAGTTAAAAAATCTGATACACTATGATAACATTTATCAATTAATAATTTCTTAATTTTCTGTTTAAACAGATTATAATTTAAATCTTTCAAAGATGTTGGGAGTTTATTATATATTCGAGGAGCCATACAGAATATATTATTTCCCATTAAAGCTGTTCTGGAGTTGGGCATGCAAAGTCTACTGTTATCACGTCTGTGGCGATCTAGTACATCTGCCATTTTTAGAAATGCATGTTCTCTTTTACAAATAAGAGGATTTCAAAAATACAAAGACGGAAGTGTTAGAATCTTATATTTTAAGAAGTAAGGTTTACAACTATCCGTAGTTTTTAAATCAAACATGGCACTTATGCATCTTTTTTGCATTTTAAATGCTAAATCTTTGTCAGTAGAATTCCCCCAGAAGATAAGATAGCTTAAAGGCGAAATAACGCATATTAAATACCTTTTTTTTCATTAATTATTCACTTCGTTTATGTTCAGCAACAATAATGATTTCTCTTTGAATATCAAAGTGTTGTTGGTGCTTATGAGAACGTTAAAATGTTTATTACAGCGTTTATTGTTGTTGTAGTAATTAATCGTTAACAGCTTTAAAATTTATTAATTCGCACTTTTTCTAATTGTTTCAGGTTACCTGATAGTGGACAGCCTTCCATGCTCATTTCTCTAGCAGACACTGCCAAATTAGAATTGAAGAGCCCCGACGAACTTCTTTTTGTCAATGATTCAGAACAACACAATGATACAAAAGCATTCACTATTTTGAGTAGCGAAGCTTTAGATGAAGATAAAGCTGTAAAAGAAGCTGTCGAAAAGGAATCCACAGAACCGAAACTAATAGTGAAAGCTAAGCCTATGCACGAAACTAGGCTGACCAATGATGCATTTCAAGTCGCCACCCCAGCAGTAGAGGAAACTACAGAATCTCAGGTGAAAGAACAAAAGGAAACTGAAAAAGAAAACATTCCAGTTGAGCCACGAACCCCGCAAGAAGATATACCTTCCTTCTCAGAGTGGGCGCAGAAGCAGCTAGCCGAGGCAGAGAAAAAAGACACAGTTCTAAATCACTCCAGTCAACCTAGTCATAGTAATACAAATTTTAGTAGTAAAAACACTAAATTGCGATCCAAAAATTATGCCTCGCTAGCATGTGGCGCTAAAGTCGTCGCCGTCAATCCGGAAGCAGGAGCAGCCAGCTCTATATTGTCTCCGAACAGAGACGAGTACATGCTTAATACTTGCAACAGTCGTATATGGTTCGTGGTAGAACTTTGTGAGGCTGTTCAAGCACAGAAGATTGAAATCGCTAATTTCGAATTGTTCTCCTCGATACCCAAAGACATCGCTGTGTATTTCAGCGATCGGTTCCCGACACGGGAATGGGCCAGCGTCGGTCAGTTCACAGCCAAAGAAATGAGAGATGTGCAGAGTTTTGATTTATTTCCGCACCTGTTTGGGAAATTTATAAAAGTGGAAATGTTGTCTCACCATGGATCAGAACATTACTGTCCGATATCACTGTTCAAAGTGTATGGTACATCAGAGTTTGAAGTGTTGGAAAAAGAGAATTCCCATTCCGCTCATATCGATGAAGACGAAGATGATGAAATCATAGATGTGCCTGACATCCCTGCTGCGGAGACAGAACCGTCTAAAAACCTTTTTGGGTCGGCAAGAGATGCCGTTATGTCGATCATGAAGAAGGCCGCACAAGCTTTAGTCAAAACAGAAGTTCCTAAAAATGTGTCAAGTGCACATAATGAAACATCTATAAACAATACGTACAAAAGGTGTTGCTCTCCCAGCCATATTATTGTTTGTGATAATTGCAGTGAAACGCTTTTTAACGAAGTGTATGAATTGATTAGTTGTAGTTCAGACAAGTTAGTAAGTTTAGTGCGTCAAGCTTTCTTGCGCGAGACATTAAAGTGCACAGGCATTTGTCAGCCGTTCGGTTTGGATTTCAAAAGTACAAAGACAATTGAATTCAGTGAAGAGCGTGTGGCTTACATGAACGCTTTACTATCGCAAAAATATTTAGCTGCGTTGTGTAATATCTTAGCTATAAAGGAAAAGAAAGTCGTTTTAAATACAAGTTTCGAAACCGAATCAAATGTTACCACTAACATAACAATTGATGAATCACCACAAAAGATTAACAGCGAGACTAATTCAGAGCAAGAAATCAAATTGGTTCCAGATAAGAATAACATTTCAACTGATAACAGTTTAAAAGAGATTGTGGAGTCGGATGTTAAAACAGGTACAGTTGAACAAATTATAGAAAACGAAAACAACGCACAAGAAACTATAAAAGAGGTAAAAGATAAAGTAAATGACAAAAAAGAGGAGGCCCCTCCGGTGATAGAGGAGAAGCCCCAAGAAGAGCAGACGGAGACGACTCCAACAGAAGCAGAGAAAACTGCAGAAATCAATGCGGAAGTGGAAGGCAAAGACAATTTAAAAACTGATAACAAGGTTGTCAAATCAGAAGCAGTAGTAGAAAAGCCGAAAGAAGCTAGTGGGAATGTGATAGATGACACGAATGATCAGTTATTGATCGATAGTGACAGTTTGTTGTCAGACTTGGATCAGATGGCGGTGGACCCCACACCATCGGGCGCGCACCCCGCTCAGAACCAGAATGCACAGGCGCCACTACAAAAGGAGTCTGTTTTTTTGCGGCTGTCCAAAAGAGTTAAGGTGAGTTGACTTGTAGCTTAAATTCGCATCTGTTAGTTCATATTGCATTTTTTAACACACCAATGAGCAAAATGTTTAATGTCCTGTGAGGTGAATGTCAATAAAGAATATTATTATTATTAGCCTAGCCCCAAAGTAAGCACTGTAAGGCTTGTGTTATGGGGTACTAGGGTAACGGATAGAATGCATATACTGTTCATACATAAGTATATTTATTACATATTAAACATCCATGACTGGAGTACAAATGCACGTATTCATCACACAAACATCTACCCCCACCGGGATTCGAATCTTCTCGAGTAGGCGACACCTTAGAAAACCGGCGTACAAACAACTCGGCCACAAAGGTCGTCAAAATTGACACTTGGTTTCTTACAATGACGCTTTAATCAAAAAGAAGACAATAGGAAACACACTAAAATCCCTTAATTGCTTGGCCAGATTGACAGGATTGCACTGGATAAGTATTAGGATAATTATATTTTTTTATCATCATCATCAGCCTATTAATGTCCCCACTGCTGGGGCACAGGCCTTCCCTATGGATGGATTAGGGAGATTGAACCATGATCCACCACGCGGGCCCAGTGCGGGTTGATCCAATGACCGACCACTGCGAAAGTTTCTCAACTTCAACGACCGCAGCCGAACGCGCTAACCACTGGCGCCATCGAGCTCCTATGAAAGTATATTTTATTTTTTTATAGAGGAAAGTCGCCAAATATGAAATAGTATCCTAATATGGAATATCTTCATTTCTCTAAGACTATAAGTATGAAACGCAACACTCGACCATCTTTTGTTTCATTCGGTCTACTAACTATCTCACTCACACCACCGAGTCAGTTGCGCGAACGCTTCACGTGTGGCAGGCGTGTTTTGTTTTGTTGTCGTGCAGAAAATTTTTAAGGTAAGTAATAAATGAATATTATCAGTTGTTATGTTTGTATATATAAGTGTTATACTATTTATTATATCGGTTTTATGTTTATTGCACCATTTTGTGATCTTTTGTCATTAAAATATTGTGACTTGAAAAAATATTTAGATGAGTTTCAACTAGTATAAAAATCCAAATATGGACAGTCGTCGGTGTCTAATTATGGAATATTCCATAATTAGATCTTAATATTTCATATGATAGATACTTGCTATTATTTCCTTAAAAATATATATATAATGTTTGTTTTTAGAATGTCTGCTTCACAATCAACCAAACGAAAAACCTGGGATGAAGAAAAAATGGCACAAGCTATAAAATTCGTCCGGGAAAAGAAAATGGGGTATTTGAAAGCGGCACAGCACTTTCAAGTGCCTAGGACAACTTTATTTCGTCTCTGCCAAAAAGATGAACAGTCTCCAGAAGTGGCAGCAGCTACTACTTTAGGACGAAAAACTATCTTGGGCTCCGAACTTGAACGTCAGCTAGTAGAATACATACTAATAATGGAGAGCAAGTTTCACGGTTTAACAAGAACTGATCTACGCCGTATGGCGTTCATGCTAGCAAAGCGAAACAATTTGCAGAATCCCTTCGGTGAATCAGGTATGGCTGGAAAAAAGTGGTTAAAGTTATTTTTAAATCGTCATAAAGATAAACTTTCGATAAGAAGACCAACTGGTACATCATTTGCCAGAGCATTTGGATTTGATAAAGAAAAAGTGGAAGCCTTTTTCAGCCTCCTGGAAGAGCTTTACACTAAAAATAACTATCCACCAAATCGTATTTACAACGTGGATGAATCAGGCCTCACAATAGTACAAAGTAAGATACCACAAATCATCGGCCACAAAGGTAAACGCCAGGTAGCCGCACTGACTTCAGCAGAAAGAGGATCTCTGATGACAATAGTTGTTTGCATGAATGCTACTGGTCATTTTGTGCCACCGTTCATTATTTTTCCCAGAAAAAATATGAGTGCTCAGCTAATGAGAGGCTGTCCTCCAGGATCAGTCGGAGTTGCACATCCATCAGGGTGGATACAAATGAACATCTTTACAGACTGGTTCAAGCACTTTATTCAACACACCAACCCGACTCCTGAATCGAGGGTTTTACTGATACTAGATGGACACTATAGTCATACTCACAATATCGATATAATAGATATTGCTAGGGAAAATAACGTGGACATAGTTTCGTTACCTCCTCATACGACTCATAAGTTGCAGCCGTTAGATAAGACTTTCATGGGGCCTTTAAAAACATACTATAGTGAGGAAATACGCATGTGGATTAGAGACAACAACAGACCTCTAAGTCCATATGATATTGTGGAGCTGTTTGGCAAATCCTATTTGAAAGTACAAACAGGCGAAATTGCAGCCAACGGGTTCAAAGTCACTGGATTGTGGCCTTTAAATAAAAATGTCTTCAGTGATGTGGACTTTATTGCTGCGCAGCAAAATGCTGTAATAGACGGTTGTACAACCAATATCCCTCCGCTGGAATCAAGATCTAAAACTGGTCAAGTTCTGGTAGAAATACCTGCACCACAAACAACTGCTAATTTACAACCTGAACCTGCACCTTCGACTTCTGGGCTTAATCGCAGCAGTTTGGGTCTGGTGTCTCCGCATGCCATAAGTCCAGTGCCAGAGAAACGAAGAAAAGTATCTAGCAGAGGAAGAAAAGCTGCTGTAGCAACAGTCATAACATCTTCTCCCTACAAAAATGATTTAGAAAATAAAAATATGAAGAGACAAAAAAAAGAAAGTAAGCTAGTCAAGACAAAGAATAAGAAGAAAACTGCGAAGAGAAACAAACAAACGAAGAAAAATAAGGATGATAGTGAAGAAGAAGACTCTGAGGAACTAGACGTTATCCAGTTTGATGAAGGTAGTGAACATGATGAGTTGATGGACCAAGTACCTCCTGACTCTGCTGATGCAGAATGTATGTTCTGTTCAAGACTTTTTTCCATGGATAAAAGTGGAGAAAGCTGGATTAAATGCTTGATATGTGGACTCTGGGCACATTATGATTGCGCTGGTCCAGAGTTTGATACTTGGATCTGTGACTTTTGCAAGTAATTATGTAACTTCTTTTATTTATCACAATATTTTATATTCATTTAATTGATCTCAAAGATATTAATGTCTATTTTTGTTATTGTTATGTTGATTTATGTTTATATTCCATATATGGGTACCTATTCCATATTTGGTTACTCATTTGTGATTTTTTCTTTGTGTTAGATTTTAATTTGATAACTAATATATTTGATTAAAGGCTGTTAATTACTAAATATAAATATATGACTGATTAATAAAAACATTAAACTGATTTAATTTGTATGAAGTTTTTTTTTTATATCCCAAAAACAAAATGGTATTCCATATTTGGTGACTTTCCTCTAATACCTACCAAAAATACAAAATATAATTTCATTTACAAGCATAAATTATGACCTTATGGCTGGATAATGATCCGTGAAAATAATTATCCTAATAATTTGCAACCCTGCCTACTGCCGCTTCAATCGCTTTAATTGCATAGTTGATAACAGGGTCAGGGGGCCAATCGCCTAACGGAAATGCTTTGGGAAACGCTAACGCTTACGATTTTATATTGTTATTTCTAGCCGCCTGAGGTTTTCGAATACCTCACGCTCATTTTTTTTAATATTGTTATTACCAATGCAAAAGAAAAAGAAAGAGCGCGAGGCATTTGAATACCTCAGGCGGCTAGAAATAACAAAATAAAATCGTAAGCGTTAGCGTTTTCCAAAGCATTTCCGTTAGGCGATTGGCCCCCAGGTGAAAAATATTGCCAAGTAGGTAATTTGATTTGTATTCCACAATATAATTATGGCGAGGTTTATTATTTTTCTGGCCGAGCTATATAGAATAAACTTTATCACAGCTGCCCCAACAGCCCAGTAGCGAAAATATCGTGAAAACAGCCATTCGAGCGACTAATTATGATTGCGCCGGAAATAATATTAAGTTTATTTTTGATAAGATATTTGATAACTCAGATCAAGTGTATGAGTAATAAAAGTCAGGCTTTTTTATTATCAGTGGGCAAAAACACTAATATTTATTATCAACATACAAAATGTAATTGATATAACTAGGTAATATGATGCTACCTGGTGGGTGCGCGGCCATTCGGAGATGGGTTACGCGACCACACCCGCCTTCTTGACTCGCACTAGGGGGACCGCGGTCCTCATAGTGCGTGTCGGGTGACGGTGTAGGAGTATTGTCTGGTTTTTAGTGGCCCTGTTCAGGGTGTAGGTAGGGCCCTGTTCACATCAGCGAGCTCCAGGGCTGGCTGAAGGGGACAGGGAGGAGACCCACATACATTCTTCTCGCTGCCCCAGTGGTTGCATGATGTGCGGAAGGCATTTCCCAGAAAAAAAAGTGGTATATTGATGCTAAAAATCTTGTTGATTAAATTATTTCATTGAATCCGGTTCAATGAAAAAATTTTATTGTTGTATATAAGACCCCATGTGGCGAGAAATAATAAAATTAAATCATAAGCGATCGCGTTTTCCAAAGCAGTCCCGTTAGGCGAATGGCCCCCAGGTATAATACACATTTAATTCAAAGACGATAATTTAAAAACGCGAATCTATTTATAAGTTTTTCGGTTATGTCTTTTGAAAAGCAATAAATATCTTTTAATAAATCACTTTTTAAATTAGGTTATAGCGCCTCTTTTTAACACCAATTTCGGATCTTTTACACAGTTTCTGCGTTCGCATGATCTCTGTGTGGGGTCTCAAGTCTAATGTTGTTATGCTTGTAGTTTACTAATTTTAATAACACTACAGTATCGATGTGTTACGCTGTGAAACAGATAATATAATTAAATATCTTATCACAAGTAACGAGGGAAAGCTTAATGCTAACTAACTGTCACCGATGAGATCTGAAATTTATGACATTTTGGTCTAATTGGCAGAGAAACTTAATCACTTTAACTTAATTTATTATTATTATTATTTATCTCCCTCGTACATAACATGAGCTATCAAAATAATGAGCCTTTGAAGCTATCATACAAAAACAAATCAAATTGCTTAGATTTACCTGCACTTGAGACGTTTTTCCATTAGAATTTAATATAAAAGTTATCATAAAATGGTGTATTTTCCCAATAATCTAGTCATATTACGACGAACTTTCACGTCTCATATTTTGGGTTAGCCAAGCATCAAAACTTTAAGATTGCGTGAAACTCCAATCGCGTAGACACACCTTAACGGCACATTTGGCATTGGTGGGACCTAAAATGTCTTTACAGTAATCATATTAGTGGCCTGCGCAGATGAGGGAGCTCTTGTCTGCGGACTATTTTGTACGCCAAAATAGATCGTCAACAACTGCATCGAGTAACCCACACGAGGGATTAAAATTACCACGTTAAAAAAAAGTCCCCTGAACGACCGAGAACACCAAGAAACCGGACTGGACAAAAGTCCTGAGTGTCCTCGAAAAAAAACGAAACTCATGTAACTATACGCTGCCGCGTTGCTATGCGCACAACGAGAAGTCCGTGACATGTCCTTTTTTTTCACAACTCACGATTCATGTCTGCGGAGGATAAAAGACCCTACCCTCTTTTGCTCAGGCCATAAATAAAACATAATTTAAAGAAAATCGAAAATTATTGTTATTATTATAAATGCTCCTACAAGTTCATTGTTATAAAGTCTAATAACACATGGAAATGCATACTTATCAATATTTTTTCTATTTAAATACAATTCTGGGTCAATGATATGTTAAATTTCTGAGGAATTTTAGATCTACAACATTCGAATTTTCTGTTTTCAGACACTGGAGCGGAACATGTCTCTTTCGGCGCAATATCTCGAAGAACTCAGCAGGCGGTATAAGAAACAAGTGGAAGAGATGCAAAAGACATTCGAAAAGACCGTACAACAGATGACAGAGGAGCGACGGAAAAGCAACGAGAGAGAACAGAAGTACTTGGATCAAATGGCGGGCCTGCAAGAGCAGCTCAGCCAAGTAGGAGAGGCTATGAAAGTGCTCATGGAAGAGCGGGACAGCTGGTTCGGCAACGTGACCTTCTTTAAATTTATCACTTTCCAACTACTGATAGTCGGTGCCGCCTTTTATTACATCACAAGAACACGGAGAAGAGATCGTGTAGCGACCCCAGTGACGAGGAAATCAAAGAAAAAACAAGAGAAGTTCAGAAGAAAATCAGTGGAAGGAGTGAGCGGCCACGAAACTCCGTCGGCGAAGAAGCGGCGGCCGAGCGAAGAAGCTCTTCAGATCGCGCGCCAATCTGCCGAAGAGATAAGTCGCGATGAAGACGAAGGCGAGTGGCAGCTGGCCAGGAAGAACAGGAGGAGAAAGACTTCCATAATACACAGGAGCGCCGAAGTCGACTCCCAACCGAATTGGAGACGCCAAGACAGCATCGGCAAGTTGCAAGAGAACCCTATAATCTTGGATGAGGAGGAATTCCTCGCGCCGGTCTCGGAGCCGAAGGTGTTCAACGACACCACGGAAACAGTTCCACTGAAAAAGGAGGTTCCGAAAACGAACGGTTCATTCTTCAACAACCTCAAGAGTAAGACGATGAAAACGAGACGGCTGTCTTCCCCCGCCTTCCTTCGCACTTTGAGCCGGCAGAGCAGTCGGAGTAACCCCAGTCCTGTCGTGAAGACCCTGGAGCCCATTTTCAACGGCAGAGCTAGCAAGAAGGCAGCATCAGAATCTCCAACCGGCAGCCTGTGGTCGGAATCTACTGAGCTATCGCAGAACGGTCCGCAAGACGACGTAAGCGCCGGCGGTAAAAAGAAGAAAAGTCTCAAGAACATACTGAGGAAAGTGTTTTGAGAACTCTGCTAATCATTTTTTACTGTGTGTATAAAACAGTCGCTTTGTGTGCGTTTAAACACCATCACTATGTGTAATTTATTGTTTCCATGCGAATATTAATCTAATGTATTTAAATTATTATTGTTAGACCTCGATAGGTGCCAATTGTGATAAATTAGGAAGCCTAATTGTTAGCATGTTGTGTTTTATTTTACGTGATGATGTTTGCTTGTTGATTGCATGATGTTTTTAAGATATGACAAAAGCGAGACGGACGTACAGATGTGTGGGAAAGCCTTCGAGGCCGGGCGTTCAGTAAACAAAGAAATGGCATTAAATGCATTAATCTGAACCGAGTCGTTTCATTTTCTCTGAATAGATTTTTCTACCCAAAAACAATTTTAATTGTTCCAGTTAGAGCAATCGGCCCGCCAGACAGGTCACGAGTGACGCCTGTTGCCAAACTGGTTGGATTATTAATTCAAATTCCTTTTTTATTTAAATGGAATTCAATTTATTTTGTGCTGCTGTATAATGCAGTTGAAACTTTATAAAAAATGTGAAATTTGCGTTGTTGTATCAGTTAAGTAAACACCTCGCGAAATTAAATTTGAATCGCAATATAAGAACACAAATTTTATTTTTCATTGGAATAAACTTGTGAAAGACGATGAGGCTACGTTATCTGAGAAGATCCTGCAAGGTATTCATTTATTTCCAGTTACCCGCGGGCTTGTCACCGGAGGCAAATGGGAATTAAATCCAATGACTTTATTCCCATCTCCCAACGGTGGCAATCCCACGACTGGGAATATACGAAGAGTGGCAGGCGCTACTTTAACGTCTAATTTTATTGAAATGTAAAGTCAATTTTACTAGAAAAACATCACGTGGACCAGGCAGCAGCCGGGACTCAAACCCGCAACCTTTGTTTTGTAGCCCAAAATGCGAAGAGCATTGCAGCCTAAGAAATACCAGAGACCATTCGCCCATCAGGGCCGCGGTACCATTACGGTCAGTGCATTCGCCCGGATAGCGAAGGGTTTGGTTCGAGTTCCGTCCGCTGCCCACTCCGCGTGGAACTTTTTCTAGTAAAATTTTCTTTAGATTTAAACATCCAGCAGTGCTTAAAAAAAATATAACCTTTATTTTATTCCTGAGGCACTGCTTGTCCCACTGGTGACGATGAACGAGATGCGAGTCCTAGAAACGAGATGGCGCGCAGCAGTAAGCGAGTGTGTATGGTGCGATTCAAATAAGAATGGGAAAACCAAAGACCTCCATCTGTCAAATGTCGCTTGAAAAGTATGGTTTGCAAAAAAATCTTGAAACCCTTTTTTAGCACTCAGCTAATTCTAGAATAAAAACCAAACATTTGTAAACAAACAGTAACAAATATTGATAATTAATATTGGTTGATATTTTTTTCATTTATTGAGCTTTGGTTATGATTGGTTGATAATCTAAACGTCAACCAAATGTCACTTTTAAGTTGCGTTCAGAAACTCGATTTAAAACTTTCGTTTACTTAAAGGATGCATGTTTGTATGTGACCTAGTAATAGTGCATTCCTAACTACTCCGGCGGTAATTCAGAGATGAGCGGAATTGAAGAGCTAGATTCTATTTAATGTTTTTTCTCTCACAGACTTAAAAAATAAAAACTTGTTTTTGCTCACTCTACCTATTTGGTTGAATTGACAGCCATGATGTCACAATATGGCGCCCAGTCGGTCCTATTCTTAGTTGAATCGCATTATAATTCAGACAGTTTTATCGCTGGACTATTAATAAATGAGTGTGCGAGTACAACAGCTGAGTACTCGCTCGCAGTGTCCTTAGCAAAAAAGCACTCGTTTTGACACCAAGTGAGCATTCATCATCATCACTGCTGGGGCACAGGCCTTCCCTATGGATAGAATAAGGAGTTTGGGCCATGACCCACCCAGTACGGATTGGTGGGTGTTAACAACTGTAGATGCAGGCAGGACCAACGGCTTGACGTGCCTTCCGAAGCACGGAGGAGCTCGAGATAGTAAATTTTTGGTCACCCATCCAATGACTAACCACTGCGAAAGTTGCTTAATTTCAACGATCGCAGCCGAATGCGCTAACCACTTGTGCCATCGAGCTCCTCAAGCGAGCATCGCTGAGCGAATATTATCTTTGATAGCTCGCTCAGCGACAAACTAGTAGAGTTCTCGACGCCAGTGTCAACAGTCAACTAATAATATAATGCATCTCTTGTTTACACGGAATGTATATTGTACGTTTCTTGAGCGAGAAAAAAAAGCATTAGTCGCTTCCTCGTCGGCCAACTGCATTTAGAGCTATGAACTTGGACTCGCGTTTGAACTTTATCACCACTTAACATCAGGTGGGATAAAGTCATTTGCCTACCAGGCTATATAAAAATAAAGTCAATTAGGTCGCTATTTTAAAAGTAGTAAAAGAAGAAGTTTTGTTTAAAAAGATAAGGTGATTAATAAAATCAAAGATAACTATTAAGACTTAATAATATATTTACACATCCATCACATATTTCATTAATATTAGTTAAATGGCTTAGTTTAGATCCAAACTCCGAAAGTTTCCAAGTAACGTGTCAGTATGTGAACATTATTTTTACCCGACTGCCAAAGAGGGAGGGTAATGTTTAGGGAGTGTATGTAAGTATGTATGTATGTCTGTTCCTTTGTGACCTCCTGTAGCCTAAACGGCTTGATGGATTTTGATGTATGAGGTATCGTTAGATTTGTCTTGATTACGGGAGTGTCATAGGATACATTTTATCCTAAAAGTCCCACGGGATAAAGACATAATAATATTTTTTCTAAATTTCCCTTTAAAAAAATATGTATGCGGTATCATTAGATTCATTTTTAGACTGTCTTAAGGTACTTAATAATTCCCGCGATATTAATTCCCTTACTGAAGTAACAAGACTACGGTATATACCGTCTTAAAATACTAACTAACTAAAAAGTGTGAAATAAAAAAGGTAAATTTAAAAAATCAAAAAACCCGACTGCTTAATTATACTTCAAATAAAAACTGAAAAGAAAAAAACAAGTCCAGTAGTCTATAATTCTGTTAATAAGGAACAAAGCTACTTTAACAGTCGGGACCCACTGTTGAAAAATATTATGTATTCTTGAATATCTAATGGGTCCCGACTGTTAAAGTAGCTTTGTTCCTTATTAACAGAATTATAGACTACTGGACTTGTTTTTTTCTTTTCAGTTTTTATTTGAAGTATAATTAAGCAGTCGGGTTTTTTGATTTTTTAAATTTACCTTTTTTTTAACTTACCATACATATTAAAAAAAAAGTTTTCGTTTTTAAAAGAATTATCACTTGTGATATTAACTCGTGAGCTCGCTTTCGGCAAAAACAAAATTGGAGTAATTCAACTCTTACCAAACCATGTATCAGTTTCCAGCCTGGTTTGGAATGTTTCTAGTAAAATGTTTCTTTGATATAAAAATCAACAATGCACAAATAAAAATACACGTTAACAATACCTAGTTGTTTTATAAATTGCACTAATACCAACAAATGAGAGAGAAATTATATGGAATACGAACTGCGCTAAAAAGTGGTTCCACGCAAACAGCGATCGAGTGGGCGGGGCGAAAAAAATGCGATCAACACACCGACCATGGGATTAATTGGGATTTCTGTTTCACATTATCTTACGCAATGAATGGGTGGGCGAATTTTATTTTGTCTATGTACATGTCGCGTTAGTATTGAAGTTTAGTCGTATAAGTTTGGAGCCATGTTTTAGCGGGTTTATTAGAGTGAAATGCTTCCATATCATTTCTAATTCGTTGAATAATACATCTTATTGGATAAGGAAAATGGTCCATTGTTTTAGCTGTTACATTGCCATAGGCAGCCACACAGAAGTTATAACACCCCACATCAAAAACACTTCTATATGCGTCGTGATTAAAAAAAAATGGCACTTGGTAAATATTTAAAACCCCAATAGAAAATATAAAAACAAAATCTTAAGGTACTTATTTAAGTAGCAAATACGCCAGCCAGCTACACATTCTTAAATGTCCTCAAATACAACAAAAAATAATGACCTTTGTAAAATATGGAGTACAAAAATATAAATATCTCTTTAAAAGTACAAATTATAATGTGTATGGCGGTGTATGTAAGAAAGATCAACTTGTTAGAAAACAGGACCAATAATAAGATAGATTAACATCTAGCATTTAAATGCTTAAAAATAAAAATAAGACAAAATTTACATTTCAGTAAAATTTGCTTTTCACATCATGGCTTTGTAACGCCATCTATCGAGAAAGCTTGAATGCTGTAGTTGTAAGTAGTTCAAACAAGTCAAAGTATTAAAATCACATTAAAACTATGCAATCATAAAAGTAATGAAATACTTCTCAATGAAAAAAAGTTACTTATGACAAATTATATTCGTCATAACGGTATCTTATCTAAATATGTTTTATTGAGCCGGTTCTTAATCCGTACGTTAAATAAAGATGAAAGTACGCTCACTCTGATAAGTTTGATGAATTGCGGTATAGAGATAAGGAGGTGCTTGGACTAACCTTTATCGAAAAGATATAACTTGAAGGAGGCAGGCAATAACTCTACGCAGAAGAAGTCACACCCGCTAATCCGCAGATAAATCCTTATCCGTTTGATAAAATTTTGATTAAAATAATTTCATAATCTCTTTCATCACATCACATTTTATGAACTGAACATCAAATTTTATAAAGAAGAGTCATTATTTCTATACTTCATCAAAGTTTGACCTTTGTATCAATGCAAAATGTTTGTAAAAATGCAAAATATTTGTAACAATGCAAAATATTTGTAACAAATAAATAATGAGCATTGGAACACGATATTCCTTATGATAGAGTGATTTCCTGACCGCTTTGAGAATGCTGCCACATCAACAAAATAGTATAATTATACGAGTATCCGTCCACAGACCCCTCTTTACCAGTGGGCACTTTGGGCAAGTGCCCAGGACCCCGCGATCGAAAGGGGCCCCCTCAGATCAAATACAAAGTCCCTAGTTCCTGTTAAATCACCAAATGGGTCATAGGGCCCTATTATCCTAATATGCCCGGGCCTCCAATAGGTCAAAGACAGCACATTGTATTGGATTTAGATATTGAGGTTAAGAAAAATTTACGTCACTAGTTGGCGCCTCTGTAACTTGAGCTCTTTTGTATGAAGTTTTTGGGGCGAATTAAGGCAGTGTTGAGTCAAATCAAAATGTACTATATTCTATGATCAGAATCACATTAGGAACATCCGACGCGATGATGCGCACACGCTGATGTTATGATCACATAGTAAATACGTGTCGGGTAGCGTCGCGTTTCAAAAGTCCGTTTCTGTCTTTCAATCTAACGAACATTCATATAGTATTCCGAAATATACATCAGTATACTGGCCAGTGGTAATGACGTCACGAATCCGACGCCATATTGTACTGGTATGCTACCATATTTTTACCGGGAAAACGAATATGACGTATGGCGGAGCGTGCGTGAGAAGTATGCAAATTTTATTTCTTTTTTATTTAAAGAACAATAACGGCATACGAATAAAAGATTTCCTTATAATTGATGAGGTAAATAAAAAAATCTTCTTTATTCGAACTGCACTGGCCAGTACAGTCGGAACAATTCACCAGTATAGCGTCGATTCATGACGTCATTGGCCAGTATACTGGTATATATTACGGAATATACCCTCAGTGATCTATAGACAATGACGATATAATATGCTATTTGACGGATATGTCGACCTTTCGCATCAGTGCTGCCACCTAGTGGGTGAGGGTGATGAGGGTTTTCCAGAAAACCCTCATTAATATATCGCATGGAGGATGTTAGTAGTTTGTTTACAATATTTACAGCTTTTCGTAGCGTGTGTAGCAAGGATTTTCAGCAACGTTTTACATTAGCTGGGCCTAAACTGTTCTGTGAACTCAATAGTGACAATTGTACCCTAAGCATGAACAGCTAGCGAGAAAGTATTCGTATCACCATATCCAAGTTTCTATACCCCTTCTATGCCCCTACCGGACGTAAGTGCAAACTCATTCCATAGAAACTTTGACGATGGCGATGCGAATATGTTCTCGCTAGTTGTTCGTGCTTGGGGGTACTGGCCAGCCTGTTGCCTATGTAGTACATAACATAATATGTATAGCTCTTGAGTATATACACCAACGCTAATAAATACCCTAGATACACCACGAGCGCTCAAAATGTGTCCCAATCAAGAAGTGCTTGAACATTACTCAAGCACTACTTGGCTCACAGTTCACAGTCACGCGCGGACCGTTACAAAGTCAAGATGCCACAGAGCTCCGCGAAAAAATGCGAAAATAATACAACTAGTACTCTAAGTACGAAAAGTGTCGTTTTTTCGACAGGTATCTAGTCAATGTTTGTTAATTTAACGCATTTGAAGTAAATTTTGATCTAATACTTACTATAAACTGATTTAATATAAAATATTTGTGATATTCAAATGCATGGTCGGTTATACGTCGCCATATAGCCGTCTCTTTCATTCACGATCCATGCCTGCTATATTGCTAACAGCGCGTTCAGAGTTGCGCGTAAAGTCAAATAACTAAGGTCTAAATTCTTCCGCATATAGCAATAAGTCGTAAAATTTTACAAGCTTGCATTTCGAACTGTCAGAAGTCCTTGACGCATGCGTTTTATTTAAGACCTTATACAGTATGTATTAAAGGTTACTTTCAATATTTTAATAATGCCTTATATCGATTTTGACTACGCCATCATCTTACGGAGCTCCGTGGATCGTTCAATGTACCTTTTGGACAGGTTTCGGGCACGATTTTGTTCGTGTTGGTGTATCTAGGGTATTTAATATCGTTGATATACACGCCTAGAAACCGAATTCATTGCACGGAAGCGGCCCACAAAAAATATCTACTACATATGGTAGATAAGCTCGTCGCTACACACGCACACATTCCTTAACACAATCTGTACATTAGAGTCACGCACAAACATTGCTTGTAACATAAGCCGTTTTCTTTGCGTCGTTTATTTGTATTGCTCTAAAGATGTACAGGATATAGTTTCACTATATCCGAGAACTTTCATGAGAAAAAGTTAAATATAGCATTCATCGCTACGATATAACATTAGCCGATTGTATAAGGTCTTTTAAGTCCACACACCTCACGCTGACCAATTTTTTACTTCTCGCGGCGGCATTAAGGCTCTTAGCAGCTTCTTCCAGTCTCTCATTGGTATATTTCTTATCGCTGTTGGTGGCAAATATGATTTCGTTCACGTCTTCATACAGTTTGATTGATACCATATGAGCGAAGTGAGTTTTTAATGTATCTATTATGGAGTCATGCATTTCGGTATCTCGGCATACGAGATTTAATATGAATTGACCTGAAAAGATGGAAAATTTATCTTTAATCACTTAAATAAATAAAACTAGTTTTAACGGGTTAATGCACGAAAGTTTATTGACGTTTCGCAGCCTTTTCAGGTCTGCATCGTCAGAATAATGATATTTTATTTATAGTATTTTTCATTTACACCCCGTCCAAAAACACGGTTCCCAACTTAGGGGTTTTGCCCCCAGATTTAGGGGCTATAAGGGTTAAAACGGACTTTTTTAGGGGCTGCAATTTTTTGGGGGTTCTTTTAGGGGCTTTTAACAAAACTTGCAATTAAATAGAAAAACAAAGCGTTTGTTTTCTTTCAGTTTTGTGCGTAGAATGGAACGCACCACGATATGAAACGACTGAACTGACTGTGTGGCAGGTTGTTTCCTAAGGCTGTATGGACTTAAGTTCTTTGCCTTCCACCAATCAAAACAGCTAATTATGATTTAACAGCTCATTTTCGTTTGATTTTCCATTCGGAAAATGTAATTATTCAATAAAATAATTTACTGTAACTAAATAATGTAACGTTTTAATTTATGAGCAACGAAAGAATTTAGGTAATAAGATAATTCTACATATAAATTTCTATATTTAGGGGATTTTAGGGGAATTTAAGAAATACTTAGGGTAAAATTTTGGTAAGGGTTGGTAACACTGTCCAAAAAGAAGTTTCACTTCAATAAGATTTATAATATGAAAATACATACCTTGTTCAGTTAGTATATCTCGTACGTGCTGAATGGATTGGTCTTGTAAGAACTGTGAAGGTGGGCAGGATAAGCCCAGCGAGCGATCTTTGTTGTCCATGTCGAATATGACCGATTCGTATTTGTTGCCTGTATTAAAAAAAATGTCATTATTCATATAGCTGTTACATATAAAGCATGTAACTGTACATGTTTAAATCTTAAGAAAATTGTGTTAGAAAAATTCCACTCGGACCAGGCAGCACACGGGACACGAACCCGCACCCTTCGCTATCCGGGCACTGACCATTATGCTACCGCGGCTCTGACGAATTTTCTCTAGCCTTCCTTAAGCTGTAAGGCAGCGCCATCTCTGCGTATTGTAGGTAACCCACAATGCCAAATGAATAACTTTACAAGTATTAAACATTTGAAAGAAAAAATGTTGTCTAGTTATATTTCTTTTATTTTTTTAAGCATGTAACTGCTAGATATTTAAATCTAAAGAAAAGTTTACTAGAAAGTATCCACGCGGACCAGGCAGCAGACGGGAATTTTTTCTAGTAAAATTTTCTTTAAAAACATAGATAAATTAATATTTTTTTGTTACACTCGCACCAATGAGGGTTTTCCAAAATGACTCGCGCCAGGTGGCAGCACCGAGACGTAAGGTCTACTCATCCGTCAAATCACCTATGTCGTCTAGTCTATGGATCAATTTAAACGCTCATTCGGTTAATTCGAACTAGCAAACCAGTGAACCAAATGTTCACCAAAACCTGATTAAAAAAAAATGTATTTAATTAATTGAGAACTTCGGAGATTTTGTGTGGTTTCGTTTGAAATTCGTGATTTCTCGAAAACCGGAAGTGCTACGTTACTCAAATCCGGTTTGTAGTCTTATCAGACTATTCTTAACTTATAACTTAAATATTCTCTTTATCTATCTCTTACGATTTGGCCGCTGAAACAGCACCACAGACAGACGGACGGACGAACTTGTCTAATAGATAAGAGATACTTTATACAAAAGACCTCACGTCACAGTGGCGCCAACTGATGACGTTAATTTTCCTAAACACTCTCATTGGTCTAGCCCCAAAGTGAGCACTGTAATGCTTGTGCAGTCCGAAACAACGGTAACGGATAGAAATACATACATATTATGGTTGCTTTCCAATAACAGCATTATTACGCATTATGCGGCATAATGCTTAACGTTGAGTGTTCCAAATACAGCAACGCTTCGCACAATTGAGCACTCTCAAAAGTGATGCTTTCGTGTGATGCGTGCAATGGTACCAACTTAGAGAAAGAAAATTAACAAGTGTTTTTTCTTTAAGTTGGCATTGATCGAAATGTTTTATTTATATATTATCGTTAGTAATATTATTTAATATTGAAAAAATATTAAAGCTTTCCTTTCATTAAATAGTTTTTTTTAAATAATCAAAGTTCATTCAAACTGTTAAAAAATAAATATAAGTTATTTATTTTATTTATTTATTTAAGTATGGATGAAGGTACAAACATTGACTTTTTTTTTTCAACACTGAACTTAGCGCACTCTGCTGGTGCATTTGAAAACTAATTCACGTTCCAATTAAGCATCAGCATAATTGGGCATTGTGCGGCACTGAGTCGCATTATGCTCTGTAATTGGAAAGCATACTATGGTACGCAGTAAATGTATATTAGAAACATACAGATGCACTTGATAGTTCTTCTGGCATGTTTCTGTTAGACTTAGTAATGAAACTATGGGTTTCTCTAAGATATTTTATATTTTAATTAATTTTTGGAGCACAACTAACGTGATGATCACAGAGTAGAGCGAGTTGACCATAGATACTACAAAAGGCGTGAAATTACCATAAACTAATATTTTAATAGTTTATTTTATAATAATAATAACATTTATTTCAGATTCTTCATCCATATGCTTACAAATCTAGTGTTAGTAAATTAATTTATGCTTTCATTAATTGTGATAAGAAAGAAAAACCGTCTGGACAAGACTGTACAATCAAATATAGTGCTAAAGATTTTTTTAACCAGAAAAAATCCACGAGGTCCCTTTATCAGACAGGAAACGTCGTGTGATTTTTTTCTAATAATAAGAATATTTAGATTTGTAAATGTAGCTAGAGATCGTCTGCAATCGTGAAAAGTTAAACAACTTTCGCAGTGGTCGGTCATTGGATGGGTGACCAAAAACTTATAATCTCGAGCTCTTCCGCGCTTCGGCAGGCACTTAAATGAAAAACTACTTTTATTTTCTTATAAGGCTGCGGTAGCATAATGGTCAGTGCATCCGCCCAGATAGCGCAGGGTGCGGGTTCGAGTCCCGTCTGCTGCCTTATTAGCGTGTTTTTTTTTCTCGTAAAATTTACCCAGAACTTTTGGTATCCATAACATACCTGCATCAGCTTCATACTTCAAGAAATCCATGCCATCTTTGATCTGCACCTCCAATCTGTCATCGGTGACCAGTTGGAAGTATTCTTTAGCCACATTCAACATCTCCGGGTCAATATCCACAGCAGTAATCTTGACATCTTCGTAACATTTCCTCAGGAACATGCACAATCCACCACCCCCCAAGCCTAGTACTGCCACCCGGCTCGCTTCGTTAGATTTCCTCTTCGATAATTCCACTCCGGCGCATATAAACGTGTGATATAACGACATGTGACCGAAGTCGACCACTAGTTTGGTGATGTTCTTTTTTCTCACTGGAATAAAAGATTTTTTAAAGTAATATAAGTTACTAGCAAACCAGTGAACCAAACGTTCACCAAAAAAAAAATGTATTTAATTAATTGAGAACTTCGGAGATTTTGTGTGGTTTCGTTTGAAATAGAAATCACGTGATTTCTCGAAAACCGGAAGTGCTACGTTACTCACATCCGGTTTGTAGTCTTATCAGACTATTCTCAACTTATAACTTAAACATTCTCTTTATCTATCTCTTACGGTTTGGCCGCTGAAACAGCACCACGGACGGACTTGTCTAATAGATAAGAGATTTACGGGATTATTACCTATGGGGCCGTCCATATATTACATCATTCTAAATTAGGGAGGGGGGAGGGGGTTTGGTCTGCGGATGACGGTAAATGATAGATAGGGGGGGGTGTTTCGAAATTGACGTCATTCTTATTTATTTATTTATAGTTTATTGTTCACGTACAAAAAGATTATTTCTAAAAAGAAATTTCTTCCAGCACACCTAGTAAGTGAGACTGCAAATGTGAGAGTCGCGTACTTAAGAAATGACGATAGGATGATTGTAGGGGGAGGGGGGGGGGGGTCTAAAATCCGAAAAAATCGATGAAGTAATTTATGGACGGCCCCTATGTACACTCGCGGAAAGACCCGCTCTGTCACCCAGAATGCCATAATCGCTTGCGATAGCGGCGTAGTAAAAATTCATTCATAGACATGTAACTATCGCTGTCTCACTTTTTCGTATAGCGGTATCGCGATCACGATGCGGATGACAAATTGCAACTAAAACAAATGCAATTCAATTCATTATTTAATCAATGAAATGCTCTCCGTCTTACTTTTGTGCGGCGTCCCAGATTGGCGCGTCCGACGCGAAGGCGGGGCGTAGTAAAAACTACTGTAGAAAACTGGTCATAGCATTTTGTTCGCCAAGTGACAGAGCGCAAAATTCCGCGATAGTACCTTGTTTTTAGAGAGTTTTTGATCATGGCGCTTGCAACACTGCCGAAATATCGGAAACTCGCTTAAAACAAGGTACATGGTAACAATCCCGTAAATTACTTATATTACTATAATGTTAGTGACCATGAAAGTTTAAAACAATATAAGATTTTTTAAATTAAATAATGGTTGTAATCACTGAACACAAAAAAATGTTAGAAGGGTAATCAAAGACCGTTTACCGTACGGGCACCGATGTCGCCAGCTCGCCCCCACTATACTTCCATCTAATTGGTAATGACCAATCAAACGATGCGACATCAAATAATCGAACCAATCAGCGCTCATAACAGAGAGCAACGACGCAATCAGAACAAAGTTTCAAGTCAAGTTATGAGCATTTGCTCACACACAACTGTGGCGCGTCTGCCCCGCCCACAAGGCCCTTCTAACCTCTTTCTGTGTTCTGTGGTGGTAACCGATTTTCAACCTTAACAGTTTCTGTATCAGGTTTAAAAAAGTTGGTGATGACTTAGGTCCGAATTACAGAATGACAACTAAATGTTGATCTTTACTTGAGTACAGTTAGAAAGGGATGTCGCTGTGTGTTATATATAGCGACATCCCTTTCTAACTATGCTCAAGACTAGATCAATCACTGAGAATCTTTCTATAATACGGGCCTTAGTGTTACAACAAGATTAAGTAGTTTTAAATTCTTAAGGTGCTGGGGTAAGACCATCCTTATGCTAATTACATAAGGAATAAATGATTTAGTTAGATTATGATTATATGAGTTTGTTGTTACGAAATGGCCGTCGCATCACAGTCGCCGTACCAGTGCGGGCTCGGCCTTAAACTAAATCGTCAATAACATGATAAGAAGAGATTTAAGGAGCTGGCGAAAAAAACGGTATAATAGGGTATTTGACAAGATTTAGGAAACGATCTCAAGTTATTGACTAATGTTTATGGAGTCCGTAAAAAGGGGATATTCATCGTTCAGTTGTGTATTTCAGTAAAAATAACCAAATCAAAAACTCCATTTTCGGAGTGGGTGGAAACCCTTATATTGTCGAAGTTCCTCCCATTCGCACGAAGCGATTTGCTTCGACCTTCATTATGCGAACGGCTAGGGAGTGGAACTCCTTGCCGAGGTCTGTTTTCCCGGACCAATATAATCTGGACATCTTCAAGGCCAGAGTGAACAGGCATCTTCTAGGCAGGCGTGTACCATCCTAGGCCTCATCATCACTTTCCATCAGGTGAGATTGTGGTCAAACGCATTGCCTATTATGCATAAAAAAAAGAGCGCAAACTCGTACTAAGGGCCTCTTCCACCCTTATATTGTCGAAGTTCCTCCCATTCGTACGAAGCGATTTGCTTCGACCTTCATTATACGAACGGCTAGGGAGTGGAACTCCTTGCCGAGGTCTGTTTTCCCGGACCAATATAATCTGGACATCTTCAAGGCCAGAGTGAACAGGCATCTTTTAGGCAGGGGTGTACCATCCTAGGCCTCATCATCACTTTCCATCAGGTGAGATTGTGGTCAAACGCATTGCCTATTATGCATAAAAAAAGAGCGCAAACTCGTACTAAGGATACTGACCTTCCTTGAGTCTCGCCTCTGACTGCACCAGGAACTGGTTGTCGAGGAATATGAGCCGGCGATGCGTGTGTGCCTCTACGTCGACATCCTCCACTATGTATCCCCCTGAGAGGGGAGACGTGCCCTCGTGAACTGTCACGCGGCGGCCCACGTCGCTGCCCAACGATAGGAACGGGATCTGGGCATCATAAATAAATATGCACATCAATCATATAAACTCGATCAACAAATAATCAACGACCTCCGTCGTTTCATGGCGTCGCCGGCTCGAGAGTTCAAATCCCGGTGGGGGTAGATGTTCGTGTGATGAATACGAGCATTTGTACTCCAGTCCAGTCATGGATGTTTAATATGTATTTCTATACAAATGTACTTATATATGTACTGTATAATATGTATTCTATCCGTTACCCTAGCATCCCATAACACAAGCCTTACAGTGCTTACTTTGGGGCTAGGCTAATTGGTGTGAGTATTGGAAATATTTATTTATTTATAGGTACTTGAAAAAACTATTGCTGTCGCGCATTATCAAATACCGTGTGATAGGGACAACAGTAGTTAACGCGGAAAATTACATACCTATAAAAATTCGAGGCTTGGCTCTCGACGATTTTCTCCTCCATCTAATTCAAAGCCGAGGATGCCGAAGCTGTGTCCTTTCCTTAGCACCGCAACCATCAAACGCTGCTATAATGATGACAATAAGATCCTATTGACATTCACCATTCCGGAGAACCCGTAGAGTATGAGCATCTTGACGGCGTGCGCGAGCTCCCCTTTGACAGCGACGAGTGCCAAAGCTGTATCCTCTCCTTAGCACCGCTACCGCCATAACCTGACGACCAGAAGATCGCTATGACACTCACCATCCCGGAGAACCCGTACGGTATAAGCATCTTGGCGGCGTGCGCGAGCTCCTTCTTGACAGCGTCGAGGGTGCCGAAGCTGTGCCGTCTCATTAGCACCGCCACCACCAAACGTTGCTATAATGATGATAATAAGATCTCATTGACACTCACCATCCCGGAGAACCCGTACGGTATAAGCATCTTGGCGGCGTGCGCGAGCTCCTCCTTGACAGCGTCGAGGGTGCCGAAGCTGTGCCCTCTCCTTAGCACCGCCACCACCAGGCGCCCGAACCGCGCCGAGTCCTGCAGCTGCCGCCTGCCTGCTGCTGTGCCGAATAGCCACTCAGATTCCCTGCCACGATGTAATATGACAGTTTAATAACATTTAAGTCAAAATATCTTTATATATATATATATATATATATATCAAGGATCGGTATTTTGCCTTAAAACTGGCAAATATTAGCCGAGCCTTGGCCTTTTGCATTCTGCAGCATACATATGGATATTACATAGCTGATTTCTTGTATCTTTTTTTTATTATATTACTCTGTCTGTAAATGTATATGTATGTTGAAGAAAAAAAAATAAACGCATTATCTATCTATCTATCATTATTATGACTCGCTTGTATCAAACAATTTTTTTTTCACTACCAAGTTGAAGCTATTCCTGACGACAAACCTTATAAAACGGTAAAAGCACACAGCTCTGTGCAAACGGAAGAACAAACATATCGCACTGTGAATCGCACACGCAACAAATATTATAATAATATGCGGCACATCAGCTTCCATACGACATGACATAAGACACCTAATCTTGTATAAGCAGAGTCAAGTCAAAAAATGTGACTATAGCCATCCTCTAATTGCCACCGTCATTCTGAATCCTACCCCGTGAAGCCCTGAGACTCTACTCACCAACAGAAAAACCAATAGTTAATGTTAGTTCACTGTAGTAGTCCTTTTATGGTTGGATGTAACTTCGCCAGACAGGCGCTCCAATTCCAAATTTATTTGGCTATCCCATATGTTGCTTCCTAAAGCTCTGCCAACCTCTCAAGAGATTAACAGCAAAACTGCACTAATGTCCGAAAAAATAATAAAAATAATGTGGTCGCTACGAGGTACCGAAAGATACTGATTTTTAAATTGCAAGATATTAGTAAACAAACTTTTACGGCTATTTTAAAAGAGGTTATTTTTAGAATTTACAAAAAACAAGTTCGTAATATGCAGCATTATTTTCGGAACACCCAAAACGTATTATTGTTTATGCGATATACGCCACGTATACACTCAGGATATTTTTGAACCAGTAGGCGTGGCTGCTAAAGCTGTGTTTACACTAGCGCAGATACCAAGCAAGCAAATCCAAAACTATTTAGTACAGTACAGGCTTTTGAACTGTGCGTTTAGGGTTTGTTTCAGAATAAAGAAAGTTATAAGGAATATTTAAAGGTTAAAAATTCATTAGTTATTTCACGAGTTAACTCTGATTGGTGGAATAGATTCAACTTTTATCAATAGAAAATATTGACCTAGACTCCACCTTACAAATGACCATAGCGAAATAACACTAGCTTTTGAAGCTGTTGTGTTTATATCGGTGAATAATCTTCCAGGGCTCCGTGGGGTAGACGATTGCGTCATGTCAGGGAAGGCAACGGCGGGAGTGATTTTTTAGAACCGCAAGCCTATAGGCTATGGTGGCCGCTTACCATCAGGCGGGCCATATGCCATCCTTCGTTTCGTTTATTTTTTGTATTTCATTATTTCCAATCAGTAAATTGAAGTAAAACCTTTATGGTTTTAGTTATAAAAAAAAACTGTAAAAGTACGGTCAAACAAAACTACCAGAGGATGGGTTGATCCCCATCTTCATCAGGCAAAGCACGAACGATAATTATTCGTAAAAATGAGGTGGAGCATAGCGGATTTTCCGCACGAAGACCTCTGTATTGACTACCTGCCCCTCTAGCATGACCACCGAAACGGGATATGATAAAGCTTTTTATAGAGTCTCGCCTATACCGATATATCGCTTTATCATATCCCGTTTCGGTGGTCATGCTAGAGGGGCTGGTATTGGTGTTGATTCTGGCATGATTCTCTAAACCTAAATTTGACAACAGTGTATCTTTGTCACGCTCTATATAAAATGAAAAGGAGAGACTGATGTTAAATTTAGTTTTAAGTTTACAAAATCATGCCAGAATCGACACCATTGTGTTTTTATCGGTGAGTAGTGCTACATGGGGTAGAGGATAATAACATTAATTATTAATAAAAGATTTGGTTTACAATAGTTAGTGGCAGGAGTCCCCTTTTAATATCCTCTTCCATTACATATCCATATTTTAAGTAAATTATACAAATATATATATATATATATATATTTATTGTACTGGATGGCGTTGAAAGTAGGCAAGGTCAACATCATCAGACTGTAGCCGTACCTGCAAACGTGCCATCACTCTTATCACAGAAAAAAAAACATTGTCTTCATGGCATCAGAAATATGATAAACTTGTACTTGTTGTACAAGTTGGGGTATCCAGATGCGTCTCTCTTCTATCTGCATGGAGCGCCTCCTAAAATACTTCGGTCACGTGGCAATGAGAAGCCCAGATAATTTTGAAAAGCTTCTGGTCGTGGGAAACGAGGAAGGCAAGAGAGATGGTTGGACATAGATAAGGAAACTACGAATGGTAACTTGCAGGCGTCCATCCGCCTTGCAGAACACAGAACGGCCTGGAGATCGTTGGTGAAATGTGCTGCCCTGAAAGGTCACGACCCTCAGCCATGAGGTAACGGCGATGAAGAAAAAGAAGTACTTGTTGTACCGACTGTTTAATATAAAAAAGAGTGTAAAATATCCTTAAGTCAATTGACGTTACAGCTGCATGCTTTGCATTGCATCACGTCTTCACTGACTTGGCACACCTGTCGTAATATTTCACGAGCTTATGAGAGATTATGATTGACGAGGTGCCGACGGCGACATTAATGTTTACGTTTTCTTGGATTCTGATTCTGTGGCAGATTTAATATTAATGTAAGAGGTTTTAACTAAACAAACATTTTTCTCTATAATTGAAGAAAATATCTTAACGAAAATATTTTCCTTGCGAAGGGTGCGCTGCGCTGCCTTGCAGCCTAAGAAGTACTAGAGAAAATTCGACACGCCCAGCAGGGCCGCGACAGCATGGTGGTCAGTGCATTCGCCTGGATGGCGAAGGGTGCGGGTTCGAGTCCCGTCTGCTGCCTGATCCGCGTGGATTTTTTTTCTAGTAAAATTTTCTTTAGATTTAACATTTAGCAGTTAACTGCATTTTCTTTTTAAATATATAAATATCGCAATACTTAATATCCTTTATTATATTATACCATGCTTTATTGATCGCTATCTTATTCACCCTAGCGCATGAGCAACGTAATATGATATATCGGTCTTTTTTATCACGCTGAATTGTCAAATTATTATGGATTTTGACTGTTGAACGCGATAAAAAACGTGTATTACCCACCGCGTATCATATGGCAGAGATGGGTGATGCTGTTTTAATCACGGTTTCAGGTAATCCTGTGGATTTAGGTCAGAAGGCACTAATATACAGAGCAAGTTATTTCATTGATACCCCCCTTCGGAAATCTGATGAGTTTCAGTCCCCATTTCACCCTTTTTTCGCTATAAAAGTATTTACCCCCATTCCTACAGTTTAGGCGGGAAAATGAAACAGACAGTTACCATAGATAAAATAGTCTATTCTGTGCTGTGACTTTCGGATTTACATTATTAATAGGCGAAATCCCTCATAATGGTTCAGTCAACATAACCCTAAGTGTCGGAAGGCAATAGCGGCACTAGCAATAAATCCACGATTGTTGCTCGCTAAATGAGCTGAGATCAGTGAACACAATAATGTCCGCTACGATATTTCAGAGTCACGGGCGAAAGTCGGCGTGGGCGAGCCATAAATAACACGCTGTGCTTTCCACTTAATCCTTGCCCTTGAGAAATGCGAGTGGTTAGCATAACTTTCCTGCCATCTGGTATGACAATTTTTCGCGCCGGAACGAAGGCAGTGATTGGGCATTGAGTGCTTAACTGCGTTTTACGCTTGAACTGGATTGGCCAGTTAGAATTAGGCGGTATAAATGGGGGCCTATTCTGTAATCGGACTGTTATTCTATCGGGTTTCCCGCTAGTTCGGAGATGAAGGCAAAAGTGTGAAGTGCCCGGATAAAACACTTTTTTTTTATTAGAACGAAGAACATTTTTGTTTCAATATTATGCGTCGATAAAAACCTTATTGGCAAGCGCTAATTGTTCTAGTGAGAGTATTAACATATTTTTTAGACTTGTTTGTTTAAGTATTAGGGTTTTTCGTACTTACATGTAAAGCATCATCGCGTAATTCGATTTATCCCGATTTCAATACAATACACAACACTTTATTGTAAACTGCAGAGTACCCACACTATTTAGCAAGAAGCCTACCAGGATTGGAACCCATACACTAAACGTATTACAAAAATGAAGGAAATCATTAATCATACGGTCCCTAATAACATATTGTATTTTGCACAATATAAATAAAATTATTACACCCACCTGGAACTTCACTCCAGCTCCTTCTATATTTTAGAAATATAACAGAAAACAAGAAAAAGTTGCTTGTATACAAAGAACTCTTCTCGCAGTTACAAAAAGTTTCGCTTTTATTTTAGTTTAACGAAATCCTATCGGCCGTATAGTTCCAATTCCAACCTTTTTATCGGAAGACTATTTTTATTATTTTTGGGCGTGTAACAAATTTGAAATTAGAACAAAATTTTTTGTCCTTTTTTTAATTTGTTAATCGCGTCGGAACACTGCGGAGCAGAGCACGGTCGCTCACTGTTGTCTATAATTTTGCATTCGGGTCTTTCTTCACTTTGGCCCGCTCTTTCCTGTGGGACGCGGGGTGAGGTAAGACATCATTCCCAACGCCTCCGTAGTTGCACAAACGTAAATCAAAATGTGCGTCATTCGTGATACTGACCGAACTTGTTTATTCACAAATTTTATACAAGGCCGCAAACTTCGTATTATTTTTTCAAAGAAAAAACTTTTGCGAATAAAACACAGAAAATGTGTGTTCTGTGGTTAAAAAGCTGCCTTATTGGTCCCGGTTGAAAATTTCATCTAATCTGTTTCAATATCAAGCAACAAGTTACTTTACATTTATTGTGTGTAGGTATGCAAGTACATCTATTTACTAAAGTAAGTACATACTTATTTATTTAAAGAAAATATTACTAGAAAAAGTTCCCCGCGGTCCAGGCAGCAGACGGGACTCGAACCCGCACTCTTCGCTATCCGGGCGAATGCACTGACAATTATGCTACCGCGGCTCTGATGGTCGTGTTGAATTCTTTCTGACCTTTCTTAAGCTGCAAGGCAGCGCCATCTCTTCGCATTGTAGATAACCCACAATGTCAAATGAATAAATACCTTTCGCCGTATAAAACATTTGAAAGAAGAAATAGCAATTATATTTATAATTTATAAATTATTTTCTTTAGATTTGCGAGCAAGCATGTAACTGCTTAAAAAAAATATACTTATTTATTTGTACAGAAAGATACAAAACTAGAGAAAAAATTAACGATATCAAAATCGCGGTTTTATTCATATCCTGCAAATGTAGGAAATGAATGTTATAATTAATTTATTGCGTGAAATTTGGCATAAAATAGATGACTTTATGTTTTGGGTTTAACAATTCCCTTTTTTTACTTCACTAGTTGAACGTAAAAGTAATTTAGTAATATTTTAAATCTATCAACTGACAGCTTTTAGAATTTAAAGCTGAGTTATAAGTAACTCAGCACTAGTGTTCTTTGTCTGAAAAGTTTTAGTTTTAGAAGACATTTTCGTTCTTGGTACCGTTAGGAAAAAAAAATAGGTGGAGGCGATGAACTTTTTCATATCGTGACTGCGCTATAAATAATTACTAATTTTTGGGGCGAGTCCCGTGCACCTCAGTGACGGCGGTCACGTACGCACACGGGATCGAGCGCACGCTATTAACTCTAAAGATTCAGCATTTCTATTCTGTAAGATCACACTCACTTTCCACAGGGGAATTGAAATTCATTTGTTTTTTTTTATTTATTTTTAATTTTTACGGCCTTGGAGTTTCCCATACTGGCCAGTCACTAGTGGTATGCCATCTATATCTTGCCGAAAGTATTTATAATTAACGCAAAGAGTATTTCATAACACACTTGGTTTCCAATGATAGATGGCGAATAATTGGGGATGTCGTTGCTTTGTAGGTCTTAAGTAAGCCATCTATCAAAACTAGTCTATGTAAACTGAAAGCTCCGCATTTACTCTAAAGATTCAGCATTGCTATTCTGTAAGATCACACTCACTTTCCACCGAGAAATTAAAATTCATTTGTTTTTTTTTATTGATTTATAATTTTTACGGCCTTGGAGTTTCCCATATTGACCACTCATTAGTGGTATGTCATCTATATCTTGCCGAAAGTATTTATAATGAACTCAAAAAGTATTTCATAACATACTTGGTTACCAATAACTAGTAAACTGAAAGCTTCCAGGATGCTTCCAAATTTCAGGATGAGATGTTGAAGTGTATCTATTTGTCCTGTATTACAATATCGACACTTGTCGTCGTCTTCTAAATGCATTCTCTTCAGATGTGCTCGAAACTGGCCATGTCCCATTCGTAGTCTGTTTGTAGTCGTTATGTATTTTCTATTTGAAATTCGCGTCGCGTCGGATGTTCCTAATGTCATTATGATCATAGAAAATAGTACATTTTGATTTACTAAACACGCGTGGCGTGGCGTTTCCTAAGTCTGTTTCTGGCTTTACATCATTTGTCGAGAAATTCTCCAGAATGGCATACAAATTTTCAAATATCTTTACAAATAAAAACGCCTATCTGAAAGCCATCTAAAAACATCATAGATTACTGTCGTCTTTTACATAAATTAGAAACACAGATATCATCAGTCTACTGTTCTCCCCTCTGCGGGGGATGCTCCCTTCCCTATGGACATAGACAAAATCACAGCGAGAACGGCAGGAATGTTGTGGGGTATTGTTATACATATGTGCCAGTGGAATAATCTTGTCTAAGTGGCATGGGCTAATATGATATCATGGACGAATAAACCATGCTGTTATGTTATAGATAAACAAATTAATAAAAATCATGAAGAGAACGGGCGAGTTTGCTATTTTTAGTAGGTATTTAAAATCCCGATATACAATTTTTAATTCTCTATCGATCTGTCTTCAACAAGTATTCGTATCTTTCATAGCTGAAGTCTAAAAAACCGTCATGTGATGAATGGTTACAAAAATAAAAACCAACAATTTTAAGAATACGCGCCGTTGGCGCCGTTTATATCCCATAAGTTGGTTTTGTAATTTTGCCGCGTTTTAGCTTGAGGACGGCAACATGGACTTTCGTTTGCTCCGCAAACTGTTTACGCGACACGCCTTCACTGAACACATACGCTCATTTCGTAATATGGGTATTTTATTTGTAGGTATCTATCTTCGTAGTATCTTAACATAAACAACTATAAAAATAGCAACTGCGAAAACAAACACAATGTTGTACTCGTGGCAGGCGCGACGCGTGTATTTTTGATTCGATCGTAACTAAAAACATTAGCCGAAGTTACAGGGTATATCCCGGTATTCTGTGGCATACCTAACTTTAATAAAACTGTCAAAACTAACTATGATATTTATAGTTATGTATTTATTTTTTAAGCATATGCTTGCTAGATGTTTAAATCTAAAGAAAAATTTTACTAAAAAAAAACACGCGGACCAGCCAGCAGACAGGACCCGTCCCGTCCCGTACGTCCCGTCTGCTGCCTAGTCCGCGTGGAATGTTTTCTAGTAAACTTTTCTTTATGATATTTATATGTTTGCTCTATAGAGCAAGCGAAGTCGAGATACTCCTATATAGTACTGATTACGAGATATTCATATGATATGTTTACCACGCACAAAAACCATTTCTAACAACACTTTAAGATAGTGTATTAACTTCTTGGGTAGGAAGTGCTATTTATTTAATTTTAAATACATCCTTTGAGCCTCCTGCTGCCCATAGGCGTGTTATTGCGTTTTTTTTAGTCATGGCGGCACTTCACTTGGCCATTCGTATTTGCCTTTTTGTCATATTTGCAAGCAAGTTATTATATAAAGAATTAGCCAGTAGTCCAGTCAGTTTAGGGTTTCACCTCGGAATTTGAGATAATAAGCTGGAAACTCGTGTACAGCTTCATTTTGGCGTTCTCAAAGTTGAGACAAAAGTTGTGGCAAATTTTTTTATCTTAAACTTTCATAATAAGTGTTGAAGTGATTGGAACCATAGAAACGGAGATAATTGCAAAAACCGATTTTCGTGACCTTTGACCTTAAATAAGTTACGACGCAGACACGAGATAATATCAGACTTTTGAGACAACTTTTAGAACGCCAAAATGAAGCTGTACACGAGTTTCCAGCTTATTATCTCAAATTCCGAGATTGGCCCCTTTTTCCCCTAATGTGACTGGACTAGAGCAACTTTTTATCATGTCTCTAAATAGGTTTGTATGTTATCCTTTTTTTTAAAAAGTTAATAATGTCCCCTCTTCTTTTTGTGTATCCGAAGGCAAAGAGCTAAGCCTACACAGCCTCTTAGATTAAGTTTTTTGTTTTAATATTAATAAAATTATAAAAACTTCTCTTATTTGTATATTATGTGATTGTCTTGTGTCTCAGTCCTTTGATGTCCAAATTAGGTCCCTCCAGAATATCAGTGTCGCAGCGGCAATCCATTTTTGCCGTTGCAACATTATGCTGAGGTGGGGCCTAGTTGACGATGGACCTTTTGTTTTATGTGTATTTATTGTAATTGTTAATGTATGTCGTTAATAAATGTTTTTCTTTCTTTACTTTCTTTTCTTTCCTTCTGTTAACTAACCTGCCCTGCGGTACAATGAAAACTGCATATTTGTTGACAGCCTGCTTATGTTTCTGGTCCACTATAAATAAGGTATAGCGCGGAGTGTCTTCTCCAGGTTGTATCAAATCCAGAGTTACCTACAAATAAGGAATATTGTAATCACTCCAACTTTTAAAGATATACATATGATCAGGAGCGTATTTACCCAAGGGCCACAATGGGCCTTGGCCCGGGGCTGATGCAAGAGCCGTCACAACCTATACAAACGCTTTGTTACTGAACTATGACTTGTTGTAAGTTTCAACAGTATAGATGCACTAATTTATTTGTTTGTTGGTGTTTTGCATCTATACCATTGAAACTTGTTTTATTTAATAAGTTATATTATTATTAGAAAATCCCATCACAAAGTAATTCTTATCAATAATAATTTGCTTATTCATTTACACTAATACCTGGCTGTGTATTTGTATGTATTTTAGTTCAACAGTGCAGCCTAGAAAAGTACTTGAAAAAATTAGACAATGTCTTCTTACCATGAAAGTTTGTGCATGTGCCCAGACTTGCACCGGTTTGATGCCAGTCTGGTACATGGGATGACTTTTTTTATTAGGTATTTTGAATCCATAAATTTCTTAACAACTTTATTGATATAAACCTTTGTAGAAGGTTTTCATTTAATTAAGTCTTTAGTTTAGAAGATTTGCTTCATAAATTAAGAACAACAACAAATAGACTTTATGAGTAATATGAATGAGCAAGTACCTCATTGTCTTCATGCAAGTTAGTTTTAGCAAGTCCATTAGTGACAAATGCTGTATCCTGTGCTGACTTGACATAAGCAGCAAGCTCTTCGGCTGTCGACATCCTAACCATTTTCTCACCAGCTAAACACACTTCTAAAATCTGTGAAAATATTTGTTTTTATTAATATAACTATAAACAACATCTTCCAAAATTACCAAGCTTACAATTCAAAAAAATACAGTCTACCAATTTTTTAAAGCATTAAATAGCATTGTAATAATATATTGTTTTAAACTTTCATGGTTACTAACATTATAGCTATTAACGGGATTGTTACCATGTACTTTGTTTTTTATGAGTCTCCGATATTTCGGCACTGTTGCAAGCACCATGATCACGGAGTAACTTAAGTAATTGCGGGTAGATGTTATTGGCAGACATATCGGTCTACCCTCTGACGTCGTCTTTAACTGCGCTTGATACTCCTACCATTATCACTATTCACTATTCACTTGCACCTGTTCCCGACACACAATACTCACAGTATCAGATCGGCGAACGACACTTCTTTCAATTTTGCGGTTTTTGCACATCAGAACGCAGTAAAAGACGACGTCAGAGGGTAGACCGATATGTCTGCCAATAACATCTGCCCGCAATTACTTCAGTTACTCCGTGATCATGGCGCTTGCAACAGTGCCGAAATATCGGAGACTCATAAAAAACAAGGCATATGGTAACAATTCCGTTAATAGCTATAAAGCATTGTAATACTTACTAATTGTGGCATAACTTTGAATTTCGTAGCCACAACAACAAACACAGGTAACGTTGTTCCATCCCCATCCTCAGCATTCTTCTCTTCAGCCTCATGGCACCTCACAACTCTAAACATCCAAGACTTATCACAGAATGTTTCCAACAGCTTATGAAGTATATGACTCTGGAGCAGTGATATGCAAACAAATCTACCGCCAAACTTTAGAACTCTTTTTATCTCGGAGAAATACTTATCTATTCTAGCTACGGTTTCTTCATTGTCGTCTGGCATAAGGGCGTCTAAGGTACCTTTATCCAACACCACATTGAACTCGTCATCACCAAAAGCAGTATTAGTTGCATCCATGCAAATAAACTTCATGTTTGTTCTATGAGCGTTGATCGAATTCATTTGTCTTATAACCACTTCTGAGACGTCTATGTTTGTGATGCTCTCATAACCAACATCATAAAGATCTGCACTAAGACTAGAGTTACCACAACCGGTAATCAATATTGTATCTTTCAGTTTTATATACTTATGAAGGTGTGAACACAACTCTAAATATTCTCCGTACCTTTAAAAACACCGAAATATTATTATTTGGGTTTATAGAAGAGATAAATTTCCAAATAAACGCCGATCAAATAACCTACCATTCGAAAGCTTTATTACCACGTTTCTTGAAAAACTTGTTCCAGTAATCTTTGTCACTGAACTCTTTACAGCTTTTAGGTAATAGATTCATTTTTATAGGGGAAATAATAAGAAATAAAAATTTATTTTTAAATCACAAGTATCACAACACAAGCACTGTTTTTGAAAAATTGTATTATTTTTAAGATTCTCCTTTTTTAGGGAAGGCAAAGGTGACAATGCCAATGCAGCCTAGTCTTCAGTTATATTGATTTTTTTACACTTTAGAATGTAGGTGTGACGCATTCTAATGTTTCATGCACTAAAGAAAAATAAGAATGAATAAAATCAAATCAAAGAATAATTAAAATAAGATGTCAACCGCACTCGATGAAACCTCTTTAAAAAAAAGACAAACATTTTTTTTTTTGATCTTACAACACTAAATTTAAATGGCTGACTTTGAACGTGTGATTTGATTGGTTTGGTTTGTTTGTTGTTTGTATTTGTAGAAAAATTAGGAATGGATATGAAAACAAAATTAATTGCAAAAACTATTTAGTTTTTGCCTAAAAATGTTTTTAAGGGACTTTAGTGAAGTTAAATCTTGGCTTCAACATCTCAGTCAGTGACGCAAAACATCGACCACCTTATCAGGGACGAACAATAATGGATAAACAAAAACAGACATGGGAAGCACTCGCAACTGTTAAATCCTTTGATTTGGGTAAGTTATTACGCTTTTAAATAGTTCATTCTCAGAAAAGAGTTCATTGAATAATGTGCAATAAAACAAAAATATTGCGACACCATCAATAACCTTGTCGACTTTCAGCTGTCTTTCGAAAGTGTGAGGATCATCATATCACGTATTTAAGAAAATAAAACTGTTCAAAAAAGGAAAGAAATTAGAAAAAAAAAGACATTCGTTTTATTATGATACCGATGATGAATTTTTTTTATTTGTGTCATTTCTTATCTGATGATTATCAAGCCTACTGAATTGATAGTAATTAAAGAATCCTTGTATCGCCAACTAGTTGCAAAATTACATTGAAAACAAGTATTCTATTTGATGGGAGTAACACGTTAAAATTTAAATGATATTTTTGTCAAAACCTTATCATGTGTTCCTATTTGTGGTAAACCACCAACCAAATTTATCTAGAAGCTTCCTAAGTTCACATATAAGCAAGCAAAACTTGTTGTATTCTGTCAGTAGTGTTATAATATCACTTTCAGTCAGTGCTTACAATGGTTCAGTTAATAGTGTTTAAAGATAAGCCACTGTATTTTTCAGGTTTAACTGGCAACAGTCACCATGAGTCAGTTTTGCACCAAAGCATGCAACAAGTTGAAATTATCAACTCGGCCGCAACTACACCTATCAGTCTGCTTGTCCAATCCCTTGTGAAACAGCTCTGTTCACTGCTAGAAAATGACACCATTAGAGCCAATCAACTCTACAATACAATATGTGAGAAATTGCATAGTATGAACTTAATTGATGATTCTTATGCCATGGGTGAATTTGAGGCCATGAGGAGTCAGTACCAGAGAGCTTTGTACCAGCTGGTGACCGTTGCTACTGGTTCAGAAATTCCAATAACATTACCAGTGACATGGCCAATCATTCAGCCATCCGGCCTGGAGTGGTCCCGTTACCACAGAGAGTTTGAGGAATTATACTTCATAGCAGGTGGAGGATTCGGAAGTGTTTTTAAAGCTAGACATCGTTTGGATGGTGTAGAATATGCTGTCAAAAAGGTTTACATCAAATCGAGTGATGTCAATACTATTATGAGCCATTTGTCTGAAGTGAAAACAATTGCAAGTCTTAATCACCCTAACATTGTTAATTATAAAGCTGCATGGCTAGAACCTATGATAGAGTCTAAAGTCAAGAAGAAAGGAAAGGGCAAACTTCAGATGGACCTGGACAGCGATGAGTTTTCTGTTTCAAACATAATTTCCTCGGCTCATCCTAATATCATAACATCATTCAAAACACACAACTCTAAAGAGCTATACAACAATAACCACACAAAATCTGACTTTATTATATCCTTTAAAAACTCCAACAGCTTAGATGATGTTGATAATACTAGTTCTACTGATGAATTATTTGATTCTGATAGTGAAGATGATATCAGAACAGAAAACGATGAAAAAGTAATATGCCCCATATTTACGAGTCAGAATTATGAGAATTGTTCCAGGGTTAACTTGAAATGGGCAACTCTGTACATCCAGATGACATACTGTGAGCAAACCTTGAAACAGTGGCTAGATGAACGCAACAACCGTATTGCAATCAGTAGAAAAGGTTCAGATGATTTGACTTTCCATTCAGATGCAAATGAATCTCCTGTTCTTCTGGATTCCCCACTTTCTACAGAATTTAATTATCCAATTACTCTTACATACATTGATCTCCTTGTAGATATGTTTACTCAGTTGGTCAGTGGTCTCCATTATATCCATTCTCGTGGTATCATACATCATGACATCAAGCCCAGCAATGTGTTTGTGGTGCAGAATGAGAGTGGTATCAGAGTTTTGTTGGGTGATTTTGGACTGGCCTGTCCTTTGCAACAATCCCACAGTGGCTTAGCACTGGGTACACACTTGTATGCAGCTCCTGAACAATTGGATGGGCAATGCAACCCAAAGGTGATTATAAAACTTTGTGTTTTAAATTATACTTTTTTATATTACATTTGCTAACAAAGACATTTTAATTTACATATTTAAAAATCAGATACCATAGCTAGACCCAAAACAGTATATGATTTGCAAACTTCTTATCAAATGTTCCATACATTTAAAATAAATAATTTGTCAATTACACTGCACAAACCACCTACATTGCTACAAAATGTTTAGTCCTCATTTTGTTTTAGTGAGACTTCATTTCAACCTTAGTGTTCCTTATCAAATAAAGGTATTATGTTTTATGATAAAATTTTCAGTTTGCTTTACTTCAAACGCCAAGCGTCTTCTGCTTAATAAGGCCGAAGCTTGAATCCCAATGGGGGCTTATATTTTTGTGTGAGGAACATTAATTCAGGAGTCTTTATTGTTTATATAGTTGCACTAATGCTCGCTCTGGTTAGAATTTATATTTAATTTTCTATTTATTACAATAGTTATAATTTTCAAAGAATAGGTGAAAGAAACTTCTCTACCTTGTGCTACTCTTGACAAAATGTTTGCTGCACCCTTGAATATGAAGAGTTGTTTTCATAGTAAACATTTGATTGATAAATTGATTCTCTTTCAGAGTGACATGTACAGTCTCGGCATAATACTTCTAGAAATGGTAGAACCGTTCAGCACTGACATGGAGCGTGTGAAAACTATTACTGATCTACGAAAGGGCCAGATACCAGCTCACCTCACTGCCAACTACCCTAAAATAGCACACATTATAGGCAAACTGGTACAAAGAAGACCGGGAAAGAGGCTTGATACCAGCCAGCTATTGGGACAACTCAAAACTTTGTCTGAAAACAAGGACGAAACCATCAAAAACTTGAAAGAGGAACTGGCTGCAAAGGACGATGAAATAGCCAAACTGAAGATGATGCTAGCCAACTTCACCTATAAATCATAGACTACTCAATGTGTGTGTGTGTGTATTTTTTTTTGTATAATAATAATTGAACTTAATCTTTTTATTTCAAGTATTAATCAATTGCCTTACGATAATTAGGTACCAGGCACTTTAAACGTTTTGTTTATGGTGTCATTATTATAATGTATTAATAATAAAATTTATTGATTTTATAATATATTGTTTTTATTCATACATCTTGCACGTGACATTTTCATATTGCACATCATGTTCCTAGTAGGTAAATATCATAAGGTCCGATTTAAATAGGTTTTCGCCGTTTTGGTGCATTAATAATAGGGTGTTTGAAAAGTTTTAAAAAACGATATCACGTTATTTACTAATGCTTATAGAGTCCATTAAAACTAGATATTTTTAATTATGTTGTGTAATTCGCTAAAATGAAACTAAATTGAAAATTCAATTTTAAAGTTGCTGCGAAAATGTTTCTCTAGACAGTCGTGAGGCGTCACTGTCAGTGGCCACAAGTAGTATACTTCCGCTTTAAGTGACGTCATTTTAGTCTTGGCCAATCCCATTGGCGGTTTCGTGTATGTGGAGCAAAAAAAAATTCTATTTAATAATTTTATAGGAAAGTTATTATAATTATAAAATAATTACTTATGAATAAATAAATAAATATTTCCAACACTCAAACCAATTAGCCTAGCCCCAAAGTAAGCACTGTAGGCTTGTTATGATATTATTTATTTTTTAAGCATTTAACTGCTAGATGTTTAAATCTAAAGAAAAGTTTACTAGAAAAAAATCTACGCGGACCAGGCAGCGGACGGGACCGCCTGGTCCGCGTGGATTTTTTTCTAGTAAACTTTACTGTAGGCTTGTGTTATGGGATGCTAGAGTAACAGATAGAAAACATAATATACTGATATATATATATATAACTATTTAAAGAAAATATTTATTAAACATCCATGACTGGAGTACAAATGCTGGTATTTATCACACAAAAATCTGTCCCCACCGGGATTCGAGCCCGGGACCTCTCGAGTAGGCGACACCATGAAACCCGGAGTATACCACTTGGCCACTTAGGTCGTCGCTTTGGCTCTGCGCTAGTATGAATTAACCATTAGGCTGTCATATAGATATATTGTGGTGTATCATTAAGGTCGTTAATTTTTTTTTATGGATAGGTCCGACAAATGACTCCACCCCACCTGATGTTACGTGAAGGTGAAGTCCAGACGCGATGATAGCTGATACAGCAGTTCTACCTGCCACACCAGCCATCCTCACCCTGCCGGCCTGCATGTTACTTCTTCACGCCTCTTTTAAAGGATCCCAGGTTGTAAGAGGGAGGGAACACGTGAGCGGGCAGAGCATTCCATTTACGGATAGTACGACAAAGAAAGAAATATGGTGTCGCACTGGGTACCACGAGGAGCTCGATGGCGCAGGTAGTAGCGCGTTTGGTCTTTGATCGTGGAAGTTCAGTAACTTTGGCAATTGCCAGATGGGAGGATCAAAAACTTATTGTCTCGATGTTTCGCTTCGGAAGCCACGTTCAGCCGTTGGGCCCGACTGCATCTGCAGTCGATAGCACCCACCTATCCGCACTGTGTTCTCCTTATGACATCCATAAATTTAAATATCTTGGTCATATCATTGCCGACAACCTTGATATTGAGAAAGAGCGTAGGGCGATGGCGATTCGAGGAAACATGTTGGCCCGAAGATTCGTTCGTTGGTCGGATCAGTTCAAGATAACCTATTCAAAGCGTATTGTCAGGGTATGTACGCGGGAAGTCTGTGGTTCCGATATATGAAAAAATCCATGGACACTGCGCGTGCAATACTATAATATTTTCAGGATGGTGTTAGGACGTTCTGCAGTGCCTGCGGAATGATTGCTGAAGCTCGAGCTGATGGTTTCAATGCCGTCTTGCGGAAAAAATTGCGTCACTGTGTGTGTGTAGATTGTTGAGCAGTGACAACACCATTAATGGAGACATGGCACCATGCACCATTTTGGAGGCATTCCGTGCGAATGATGAGTGAAATAGAAGTTAATTATTCTTCCTGGTGTCGCTCGCGCGGAGTGCCTCTAAGGTACATGACCTCTTGATAAACAAAAATGTTCTAAATGTGTGTAATACTTGCTATAGGCCACTAACATTAAGTTTTAAGTTATAATGTATACTAACATATGGATCTGTGTTGTTTGCCAATAAATGATATTATTATTATAAGTCTGGCGCCCCCGGTCACTTACGATTTGTACCCTAGAATTAGTAAATAAAGCTAGTAACCAATGCCATTATATGGCTACTATCGCCCCGGGCCATAGCCCCCTTGGCCCTAGGTTAAATACGCCCCTGTCCTGTCTATAGTAGTTAGGGAATATGTGTGCCCCAGCCAACAGTGGGAACAGCCGGCTGTAGGGTATCCATGAGGATTTCTCACCCGCTCCCCCGCCTGGGAGGAAACAAAAAAAAATTACCCGAATTCCATTGGCACTCGTATTGGGGCCAAAGATCACGTGTAATCGCGCCGTATGACGAACCACGCCATCAAGTTCTGTGTTCTAATTACCATATCTATTAAAATAGAAATAAAACAAGTCGAATCGTAAGTAATCAATTTATTTACAGAAACACTAGTTTATTATTCAATATATAAATTATTGGCTTATTAGCTAAGTTTTATTTACAGTCTTAACTCTTATTACTAGTTTCAAAATGGTTAAAAATGTCAGTGAAGTCTTTCCCGCTATAAGCATCATGTGGATATTTACATTATCGCATTTTTTATTATTGTATTCAATTTAGTAATTTGTTCAAATAGGAATATTTTAGATTCATTTGTCTCCACTGAGGGTCTCAAAATTTCGTAATTACAAATTACCTATCATAATTCGTCGTACGAGTCGAAGTATTAAGTATTAGAATGCGGAGAATTTCTCCCTTAGCCCCATTTGGAGATCATCCAGAGAAAAAAGAACTATAGGAAGAGAACTTAAAGTTAGCGACCCAAGAACAATATATAAAACTTTTGCAGAAGAATGTTATTTATGCAGAGGCCGTATTTAAAACTCTTCACGGAAGGCAAAAAAGATACTGTTCTTCTGGGCGTATATTATTTCGATGCGTCGATAGGAATTGCCTCGCGCTCAAAGTTCATTAGAGCCACCTAGTGCTTCCGAACACGTACACATCGACTAGCGCCGTTAGTGTTCTTTAAATGGACTTCTATCATACTCTATGGATAGGTGCTGACTACGATATTAAATACCATAGATACAGCACGTGCGCTCAAAATGTGTCCCAATTAAGAAGTGTTTGAACACCACTCAAGCACTTCTTGGTTCATAGTCAGTTCAAAGTGAAGTTGCCGCAGAGGTCCGTGAAAAAATGCGAAAAAATATTTATAGTATGTAGTGTCTTTTTTTCAACAGGTATCTAATCAATATTTGTTAATATAGTGCCTTTGAAGCAATGTGGATTTCGCGCTGACCACGCGTCGTTCTCTAGTTGAGGAAGCTAGGTTCAATATCGTTGACGCGGTTTCTACCACAGAACACAGAAAGAGGTTAGTAGGGCCTTGTGGGCGCGCCTGCCCACATTGCCCTTGCCTAAGAGTAAGAGCTCATAACTTGAGCAAAACTTGATTCTGATTGCGTCGTTGCTGTCGGGTGTGAACTGTGATTGGTTCGATTGTTTGATGTCACGTCGTTTGATTGGCTATTATCTATTAGGTGGAAGTGTAGTGGGGGCGAGTCGGCGACATTGGCTCCCGTACAAACGGTCTATCCTGCTAATCTCTTTATGTATTCTGTGGTTTCCACCAATGAACTACCTATTGTCCCCGAGTGGGTCATCCAAAGTCATGACTGCGAATCGAGTGATGGGTAGCTCTAATGAGCGATTATCCTTGAGAGTTTATAATACGTCCTCAGGCAAGGCAAGGCCCTATGCTTCACTGAAGCTAATTTGGCGGGTGTCGCGCGTACGCTTATTTTAATGGCGCCATCAAATGTGGTAACTCGGCTCGGACGAGTTACAGGATGTTGTCTATGGCGTGGATCACGCCGTTCGTCGCTGGGATGTTGTGCGTCACCACTTGAGCGTTGTTCACTTTGATTCGACCTGTGGAGACAACAAAATACATGTTTAATAAATTCTTAGTGAGTGAAAAAATACTGTAGATGTTTCCTTTGAAAATCGGAAACGCAAGAAAAATTCAGAGTTAAGGTAATAAGGGCTTGGAGTCATCTATGAAGTTGCGTAGCTGGTAGTATCTTATGCCTGCGCTGGACGGCTTGCCGGGAGGGGGTCAGTGCCGTGGATATATTTCTTTTGGAATCCTCCATGGAGTTGCTTAGATATAAATATCTCATGCCGGCGCTGTACAGTGTGCCGGGCGAGGCTCGGTGCTGTGGATATCTTACCGGAGTTCTTCTGCAGCGTGAGGGCATTGGAGTCCTTCATGGAGTTGCGAAGCTGGTAGTATCTTATGCCGGCGCTGTACAGCGTGCCGGGCGTGGGTCAGTCCTGTGGATAGCTTACCAGATTTCTGTAGCGTGAGGGGCTTGGAGTCCTTCATGGAGTTGCACAGTTGATAGAACTTTTGCCGGGCGGTGCTTGTACAGCGTACCGAGCGAGGATCCATTCTTTATTTGTCTATCTTATTATACCTTTATATGTGTGGACAGAGTCATGGCTATACTACCGGAGTTCTTCTACAGCGTGAGAGGTTTGGAATATTCCATAGAGTTGCGCAGCTGGTAGTATTTCAAACCAGCGCTAGACAACGTGCCGGGCAAAGGTTAATTCATTCTATATGCGTTTATATAGTGATGGAATAGCTCACCAGAGTTCTTAAGCATTGTGAGGGGCTTGGAGTTCTCCAGTCCCAATCCATTCTATAAGCGTCTTTATGCTGTCACATAACTTACCGGAGTTGTTCTGCAGCGTGAGAGGTTTGAAATCCTCCACGGAGTTGCTCAGCTAGTAATATCTCAGGCCGGCGCTATACAACGTGCCGGGCAAGGGTCAGTTCATTCTATATGTGATTATATGGTGATGGAATAGCTCACCAGAGTTCTTTAGCAGCATGAGAGGCTTGGAGTTCTGCAGTCCCAACCCATTCTTTAAGCCTCTTTATGCTGTTAGATAACTTACCGGAGTTCTTCTGCAGCGTGAGAGGTTTGGAATCCTCCACGGAGTTGCGCAGCTGGTAATATCTCAGGACGGCGCTGTACAACGTGCCGGGCAAGGGTCAGTTCATTCTATATGCGTTTAAATGGTGATGGAATAGCTCACCAGAGTTCTTTAGCAGCATGAGGGGCTTGGAGTTCTCCGGACCCAATCCATTCTATAAGCGTCTTTATGCTTTTAGATAACTTACCGGAGTTCTACTGCAGCGTGACAGGTTTGGGAATGTCCACGGAGTTGCGCAGCTGGTAGTATTTCAGGCCGGCGCTAGACAACGTGCCGGGCAAGGATAAGTTCATTCTCTAAGCGTTTATATGGTAATAGCTAACCAGAGTTCTTTAGCAGCATGAGGGACTTGGATTTCTCCAGACCCAATCCATTCTATAAGCGTCTTTATGCTTTTAAATAACTTACCGGAGTTCTTCTGCAGCGTGAGAGGTTTGGAATCCTCCATAGAGTTGCGTAGTTGGTAGTATCTCATGCCGGCGCTGTGCAGCGTGCCGGGCAAGGGTCAGATCATTCTCTAAGCGTTTATATGGTGATGAAATAGCTCACCAGAGTTCTTTAGCAGCATGAGAGGCTTGGAGTTCTCCAGTCCCAATCCATTCTATAAGCGTCTTTATGCTGTTAGATAACTTACCGGAGTTCTTCTGCAGCGTGAGAGGTTTGGAATCCTCCATAGAGTTGCGTAGTTGGTAGTATCTCATGCCGGCGCTGTACAGCGTGCCGGGCAGCACGTGTCTTGCGACTAGTGCCCGTGCAGCGACCCGTTCATTGTACCGCGCCAGATCCGCGGGAGAGGCGCGTGCGAACGCAGAGTCCGTCGGCGCGAATACTGTGTACGTCTTGCTCTCTGCTCCAGGGAGAGAAAGATATAACGTCAGTGGTATCCTGCCTTCTGCTCCAAAGGCACTAGATTAAATCTCAGTAGGTTGGTGTTAATTATAGCAAGTATGATTGCAAGAGAGTTACAACCGATTGGCTATAATCCCTGGATTACTTTACAACAGAGAAACTCTTTTCTGTCATCTCGTGAAATGTACTTAACATCATATAAACATATTTTTCACTTGTACGTACAACAACAAACAGAGACTCATACTACAAAATCTTAATAACACAATTAATCACTATAATAAACAACACAATACATACACGCACACATACACTCGCACAATCACATACACCCACACAAACACACTACCTCTTTTTGTTTTATTTTTCTCATATTTATGTTTATGTATTTCACTTAGGAACTAATATTATTTGAGTTCCTTATAGACGGTTCGGAGGTGGAGAGACTGGTAATCTGTAATACAGTTCTCCTAGTACAGACGCCAGTCTCTCACATAACTAGATTTAAGTATTAAGGTTAAGTTAATGATGGATTGTTATGTGAGAGAAGAAATAAAGAAATTATTATGATATTATTATAATTAATTTGTACAAAACAGATCTTTGTAATTTTTTTTTAATAAAAAGATGCATTATGTTCTATTTATATACCAAATGTATAGTAACAATTACATTGAGAGGAGAGATGCACGCGCTATAACGTTCATCGATGCCTCGTTTCATTTTAAGACTGAATAATTACAGTACCGCTGCTTGTGGCGAATAAAATAAAATAATAGGATTTCTTCCGAATTCAGTGTTTACCTGCAAGAGTTTCAGCGAATCCGCTGGCGTATATGGCCTTCAGGAATGTGGTGAACCTTCTGTCCCTGTCAGCCTGCAGTGTCTGTACGATGTCGCCAACGGGCAGGGGAAACATCACCCTGTCCACCGCGTGCGCAATACCCTGCGAAGATATCATCACGGATCATGGAACAATTGTGACAAATTAAAAAAAAACGTAAGTTACTTTCGCCGTTACATTACTCTGATATTAATTAGCTTATTAAATTTGTGTTATAAGCATTTAAATACTACATTTTTAAATCTAAAGAAAATATTACTAGAAAAAAATCCACGCGGACCAGGCAGAAGACGGGACTCGAACCCGCACCCTTCGCTATCCGGGCGAATGCACTGACCATTATGCTACCGCAGCCCTGACGGCCGTGTAGAATTCTTTCTAGCCTTTCTTACGCTGCAAGGTAGCGCCATCTAAAGTTGTACGTAAGGGTTAAAAGTTCTACTTAAACCTAGTGCTATTTTCTGCCACTAATGACATGACACTTAGACATGGAAACTTACTTGCGGAATATGAATGTCCTTCTTGTCTTCGATGACTCTTGCTCCGTTGATGGTGGTTACCCGAACCTCATTCCATTCCACGTCGTGCATGTCATACTGGTTTACCCTGAGCTGCGTGCCGGCGAGGGAGACCCCCGTCATCTCATCTTGTAGAGATGCGATATCGAAAGCACCTGGTATCACATGGTGAAGCAGGAGCTGTAAAATGTAAATGGTCAAAATATGCAAACTTATGTAAGTCGGCATACGTAGGATTTTACGAACTTACCCCGCTTAGCAGTCTAGGATTGTCCCTGAACTTCTCTTCAGCTCTGTCCGGACCACCGAGCTGTACAAGCAATGTCCTAAACGCTTTGTCCGTGGGCGCAAAGATTGTATAAGGTCCTGTCTCATTCAATATTGTGTCCAAGCCGGATTGGCGCAAATATTTAGCAGTGGCAAACAGACCATGCTCTTTCAAAATTTCCACCAGTCCTGGATTTAATTGTTTGCCAAAAGAGTGGCCTATATCGACGCTTGGTGCAGCAGAACTTGAACCTATCACGACTAAGTCTTCGGGCGTTGAGCGGTATGTAGTCGGCGTGGTGCTAAGGATCGATGCATATGTTGAGCTGGGGAAAGAACTTTTAATCGGGCTATTTCTGCTTATGGTGAAATCGTGGTTCGGGGAACTGATATATCTTTCAGTCGTTGTGATGCTTCGTGTTGTCGGAGAGTATGTTTGTGTTTTAGGTGAAGTAGGGACGGTATCAAAGATGGAGTTGCGGTACGTGTTAGGCGACTGTGTCGTGTGAACAACGGGGTTAGTGTGCCCCACGGCTCCATTACTTGAAGCGGTTACAAAACTGGAGTAACTCGACGGATGGTGAGAAGATTCTGCCACGTAGTCCGTGCTATCAGTACCCGGGCTTGCCGTCGTGGAACTAAATATAGAATTCGATATCTTTGTTGGACCGGGCAACTGTATTTCACCTTTCTTGATTTTGTTTAAAATGTTTTCCACTTCAGGACCTTCCTCAGTTTGCTGGCCGTTTGCTTTTACACCCTTTACTTTAAATGATCCATCATCTTGTTCTTCTAAGAAAACAAATGTCACTTTCTTTTTATTTTGGATCGTTGCCGTAGAGACTTCTTCGAGTTTGCCACTGTCAGATTGTTTGATTAGTTCGAAATTAGCTCCTGGTGGTAAAACACCCTTAGTTAAGTCATCAAATGAAATACGACTTTCTTTTTGAGGTTCTGGCGAAGCCGACGCTAGTTGTGATAAGCTTGAACCATCTGCTACGATAGCTCCCTTAGGAATCAAATTAGGATTACTAGTTCTTATGACTTCGAACTTCTGACCATTTAAGGAAATCTCTCGGGACGTGAAATTTTTCTCATTGAAGTCTTCTGGGTTTTCTGCGAGAGCTACCTTTAGCTGCTTCAAAATATCGGGCTTTTGCAATAATGCAACGCTTTTAGCTCTTAAGTTGTCGTCAAAACCTTTGGTTTCACTTTCTTGAAGCAGACTTTTGATTTCATTGTAAAGTTTCTGTTTATTTCTATCTTGAGGAGGATTTCTTGTTTTGGGTTTAGGTCTAGGTTTGTAGCGCGGTGCTGGTGTTGTTGTGGTTGTGGTGGTAGTCGTGGTGGTTGTAGTAGGATGCTGTTTTTCGTACATTTCAACGGCTTTTCTAAATAAATCCGTCTCATGTGGTAAAAGCGGTCTGCGCTTTTCTTGATGCCTGTTGTAATATTCATCATACGGTTCAGTAGTTGCAAAGGTCGGTACACTTTTTGTGGCTTGTTTGTTCAAGAATTCCTCGTGCAGTTTTTCCACCTTTTCTTGTTGTTTTTGCTGTTGTTTCTGAACGAATTCTTGATGCTTCTGTATTATCCTTTGACGTTCTTGAAGTTCTTTCAGTTTTTCTAAATTTTCTTTAGATTGTTGTTCGAAAAATTCTTGAATATTTGTATTTTGGTTGTTTGAAAACAATGGGGCTTGGCCCAAATTCGACTGGAACGGGATTTGTGCATTATTTACGTTATTAGGGTTTAAGGGTGCTAAATTAGGTGCTGGTTGTATGGTTATCGGATTAGGGTGACTGAATATTGGTTGATTCTGTGTCGTAGGAACAGTTGGTAGAAAAGCTGGTTGATTCAGCCTTTGACTACCGATATTCACTGTATTACCAGGAATGCTTGGGTTTTGGTTGAATGTAGGAGCATTTTGTGGAAGGGGATTATTATGGAATGTCGGTAGAGTGGGTGCAGGCTGTGGTAAAATGTTCTGGTTTTGGACAGGCCTGATTGGTTGCTGGAAATTGTTTTGCAATACCGGTTGGTTCAAACTGGGTGCAGGGGTGAATTGGAAGTTGTTGTTTGGCAGTGGAATATTGTTCTGCAAGCCAACGTTGTTGGGAATGCTTTGGCTAGGAATTATGTTGTTGAATACTGGCGGGGACGATTGGGGCACGAACTGTTGCTGTTGGGGCTGCTGGAATATCGGTTGTTGGAATTGGATCGAGGAGGGCGCGGGGCTGCTGAGTATATTGCCGCTCTGTTGAAAGTTTTGCAATGGCGAGTTTAACCCGAATCTCGTCTGATGCTCGCTGAATCCGGGATGTCCTAACGCCACTTGTCTTCTTCTGTCAAAATCATTTTCAATCTGAAATGAAGAAAAAGAAACTTTATTACTGATTTTGATTTTAAACTATTTTGATGAAATTGGAAAGTACTTATTTATTCTATTAAAACCGTTACGGAATAAGCGTGATTCCATTTGGTTTCCAATTATTCCATTATATTGTGAGAGAACGCGCTTTGTTACACGTTATGACTAACTTCACAACAATAGCGCTTTATTTCATGATTTGTGCGATCTTATTGTAAAAGTAAATGGTAGTTATGACATTATTTCATAGACACCTACATAATAACCTAATTAGAATCCTTCGTGCGTAGAAAATGGTAAAATAGAAGCAGTATTTTGTAATCTTCATGAAAAAAAGATTTGAACTGAAATTTGAAACGTTGAATTAAAGTGATTGCACTACTATTAAGATTTTATTAGAAAATTTAAACCCCATTTAGTGATGATGAAGACTCGATGGTAAATTAACTGTCTAAAGTAATTTGAATATTTTGTAAAAAAAAATCAATTTACGCTTTGTTTGGAGGAAAACCAACATTTATGGCGGAACTACGTAAACCTAATTGTTAATTAAGTTTTACTTTCTACTTTTAAAGTAAATTAAGTTACAGCAGATTGTAGCCATAAAAAAGAATCAAATGTTGATTAACTGCACTGCTTGGGGTACGCATAAGCAGTATTGCAGTAACTTTACGGCTCAAGAGATAGGTCATTTCACCAAGTTAATCTAAGGTTAAACTTCTTAATACAAAAGTAGGCTATAACTATCACAAAAAACGGATTATAGTCCCGTGATGTTTGACCGTGCGATGTATTTTTGGAGCGCGCCCCGATCGGGGCGTGTGGTCTTATTTGAGTAAAATAAAACCTGGGCACGACTTTTTAATAAATAGGTTAATATGTTTCAATCAAGACCTAATAAAAAGTCTTTGTGATTTGCTTGGTGATTTGGTAATTCCGATATCATAGGCTAACAAAATTACCAGTTTAGTTAAAACCCTAAACTAATCTATTTCACTAGACTTTTACGACATGTACGGGACAAAGAGTTACAGTGTTTAAGTTGTATTATTTCATTTGAGATTTCTGGTAACTAAAAGCCTTTTTGTTATTGTATATCTAAAAATCATTGCAACTTTCGCAGCACACAAAAAGACTGGCCAAGCTCGAGTCTTGCTTCGCTCTATTGGGGTTTCGTAAAATAATTTGTATGTTTTCTTCACAACTTACAGAACACATTTATAAATCGGCATTTTCCGTATTTGTTGTTTAAATACAGCTATGAGACATACAATTTCATATTCTTAAGTAGTTTCACACTGAAACACCCTGGATTAACACATAGGCTACGTTTTACTGCGGGACAATATAACTAATAAATATACCGCGGGGCACAGCTAGTACTTAATAAATTGATATGTACGCATTCAGTCAAATGACGTTAATAAAACAAATTAATGATCCATGTAGTGTTACACATTAAATTAATAAAGCACATTGAATCGCGAATCTGTGGTAAAACCAGCCGTGTCGAATCATGCGCGTGCGCAGGAATGCACTTTCTTGGTAGTGATGCGTCACGGAGATACAGCTAGCAAGATGAGATGACGTACTTAAGGTTGCCACAACTTATCTAGTGACTTTAGTAAACAACAATGGTCTGGAGACATAATATCTACAATAACCTACAATAGTGACATGAGTAAACTTAAGATATGATTGGGAAACTTTGTTTTATGTGCCTGCATGCGCATATGATCCAGCTACCTTTTCGAGCTACCTTTGACAAAGGAAATTTTAAATAAAACTAGTTTTAACGGGTTAATGCACGAAACTTTATTTATTTATTGACGTTTCGCAGCCTTTTCAGGTGTGCATCGTCAGAATACTGATTTTTTATTTAATTTTGTCGCGCTACCTTCGAAAGACTTTTAAAGATTTTTTTAAGTCTTTCGAAGGTAGCTCGACAAAATTAAATAAAACATCAGTATTCCGACGATGCAGACCTGAAAAGGCTTCATGAAAACAAGTTGGATCAAAAATTCTAAGCACAGAGATAATTGCTATGTAATTGTAGGTAGCTTATAGATATAGTTATGTATAAGATCCCCAATCGATAGTCACTCACTACAAACTCGGTTTAGACACTAATACCTACTTAAGTACCATAAATATATCTTTTCAAATTAATAATATGAGTCAAGATTATGAAATTCTTTGTCAATTTATATATATAAAACTCAAAGGTGACTGACATAGTGATCTATTAACGCACAGCCCAAACCAGTGGCCGGATCGGGCTGAAATTTCGCATGCAGGTAGATGTTATGACGTAGGCATATGCTAAGAAAGGATTTTGATCAATTCTACCCCCAAGAGGATAAAATAGGGAATGAAAGTTTGAATGAAACTTTGTCAATTTTAAACCGATCGGGGTGAGATTTTGCATGCAGGTATAAGAAGTATCATAGATGAATGTCATTGTGTATAATACAAGCCTGAGAACAAAAACTGTAGTCTACACTTCAGCTCTACACCGAAGCGAAGCGAGGCGGGCCGCTTGTTTTAAATAAGTAGCTATACCGATCAATACCGATAGAGCATTTCAATTAAATTGAGATCGACGCAACGTAGATCCGAATCGGATTGATTTTATAGTTACGAACCAAATTAGAGCGTTACTTAAGGTGCTCCGAAAAAAGCTTTACGCACTACGAAATTAATATTTTCATAATATTAATCTTCTCATTTTTTATTCTTGTTCAATAAACTGTGCAATATTGGCAAACTGAAATATTGGAATTGACGTAATTTACGGAACTCTATGTTTTTTCGATTACGATGTAAAAACCGGTTATATTGGAATGTACTTTATTTGCTAATAATTTTTCGGTTATTTTAAAGAAATTGGTAATTTTTTATTAAATTCTAACTTGAGTGGTTTTTCTACATACGAGGTTTGAGATATTTTAAACAAAAGCTTTAAAACTGTTTTTTTATATATTAGACTAACGGGCTCCCGCGACTTTGTTCGCGTTAGCTTTAGTGTTTAGATGAAACTACAGGAACCTAAACTTTTGCGGGGATAAAAAGTATCTTACGTCTCATTCCAGTTCATAAGCTATATGCGTACCAAATTTCGTCCAAATCCGATCAGTCGTTTTTGCGTGATTGACTAAAAAACATACAATCTTTCACATTTATAAAATTACTGGGATACAAATGCACTTTAAAGGCTGGGTTGTGTTGGTTTTCCACACGTAGGGTTACCATATCTCAGGATTTGTCCTGAGATTTCAGGATTTTTGGAGTCTTCTCAGGATTGCGGCTGGATTTTGCAAATCTCTTGAAATCTCAGGATTTTTTGAATTTTCAATAAAATACAGCTAACGTTTTAAACATCTCTTTAATAAAAACTTAAACAAACCAAAAATAATCTTCCTTTGATAATAATTGCACAGTTAAAATCAATACCTATTTATCCAAGTATGTACTTGATCAGTTTTATCATACTTAATATGTGATGATACATTTTTAAGTAAGATTTTTTTCTTTAACTATGGATTTATAAAATGCCCCACATGTGAAGCTCTTCAAATTATATTGAATTAAAAGTATAAGCAGCATGTAAATAAACGATAATATTACGACTTTTCTAAATTGTTAAGTACGTTTGAGAGAAAATTCTCAAACTAAAATCTCAGGATTTTTCAATGGAAATCAAGCCTTTTCTCCGGACTTTTGATTTTTTTCATCTGTGTATTTTAACTGTGTAGGTATCCTTCATTTTTCATGTTTCTGCCGTGTCTTAAAAAACAAATACACTTAGTGACGAAGTGAGAGACTGATAGGGGAAACCACCCAATCATTGGCACTCGTCCTATTATTAGCACTTTGAGTTTAGTTCGAAAAAAACAAGGAGACAATAGATTATTCAAGGTCGTTACATATTAAAAAGAAAAACCTAGTATGGTTACGAAAGGACATGGCTAAGAAACTGCCTTTAACGTGTATAAATATTTCGCACTAGCCCGTAAATTAACAATATTTTTTTATTAATTATTACGTGTTTATTATTCTCATACAACTTTCGTGAAATATTCAAATATTTAGAAGTATGAAAATTGACTTCATGTCTGTTTCAAAAGCAAAATGTTCCGTTTTACAAAATAAATGTTCACAAATAATATTTGTGTAAGTATATCGAAATAAATAATATTATTTCTAAATTCCTTCAAACTAGAAGGCTTACTTGGCCCTATTTTTTATTATAACAAATCACTGAAGGCCTAAAATAATAGATTTTATTATTCTGATCAGGCTTGAGATAGGCTGTATGACAATTAATCCTTTATTTTTTGCAAATGGACAAAATAAAACTTCAGATTTCCTGTCAGGTCAACGATAATAAATTATTTGTATTTATTTTTGCTTTAAAAAACTTTTTGTGAACAGTTAATCATAGAAATAGGAAGAAAGATTCTAAGAAAATGTGAAATTGATGACTCTGTAAATAATTGGCAACATCTTTTATCAACTGTAGTAAGGTAAGGTAATAGTAGGAGTTCTCATAATTTTCAAGATTGTGACTTTATCAAAAGTTCCTGAGCGTTTTTTCATAGAAATTATAAATATTCAGCCATTTACCATTTTATATTACTAAGTACAGTATTTATACATTGCCAGGGCAGTCGCTCATACAAAACTTTACCATGTCCTTTGAAAATTGGCAGCATTATTCCTACAATCTATTGTTTCCGGTTTTTTTCGAACTAAACTTAAAAGTGCCAATAATAGGAAGAGTGCCAATGATTGGGTAGTTTCCCCTAGTATACTACCTAAATTTTTAAGTGCTTTTGTTTTTATGAAGCCACTGTTACTCTGTTTAATCACCACTTCTAAATTTAAAAATAGTACCTAGCGATACTTAACTTTTGTTAATTAATAATATTAATGTAATGAAAGTTGACATCAACAAATGTATTAAATTTTTGATGTCATCTTTCAATTGACGA